CACACACACACACACACACACACACACACCCTCCCCCTGTGCATGAATTTTGTGCACTGGGCCTCTAGTTAAAAATAACGGAGAATAAGCTGGTAGAGGTGATGGTTATGGCAGAACACTATGTGATCACTATAGAGGTAATCACACTTTATATAGAGGTGGGCATGGAAGGTCTGAGGTGGTGGCATCTGAACACAGAACTGGATGAGGTGACAGAGCAAGCCTTTTCTGGAGAAGGACATTCCAAACAAAGGGCAGCAGATGCACAGGCCCTGAGGTGGGGGTTTGCTTGGCTTGTTCATGACAAGCAAGGTGGCTAGGATGACAGTGAGAAAAGGAAAGAAAGAATGGAAGACCTGCTATGGAAGAAGGACTTGAGATTTTATTCCATGTGTGTTGAGGGGGTTGGACAAGAGAATAGAACTTTTACTTACAGCACAAGGGAAGCCTCTCAAGGGCAGGGATTCTTGTCTTTGGTTTTTTGCTGTTCTTGGCTTTTAGAACAGTGCTCAGTACATTGTAGATGCTCACTAACCGTTGTTTAATTGAACGAATAAATGCATTACAACAGTTTAATTTTATTTTACAGGCTCACAGTAATGAAACCATAGGGAGTGTCCGGTGGAAGATAGCCAAGCAATTGTGCTGTCCTGTGGATAATATACAGATATTTACAAATGATAGTCTGGTAGGTTTAAATAAACTGTGGCCCTTTAGCCTGATACTACCACTATCCTCTTCCTTTTCCTCTCAGTAATTAAGAAACCTCTTTTTGCAGCTGACAGTAAATAAAGATCAAAAGTTACTCCACCAGCTGGGCTTTTCTGATGAACAGATGCTTACGGTGAAGACTTCTGGCAGTGGGACCCCATCCGGGAGCTCTGCAGATTCCTCCACCAGCTCCAGCAGCAGCAGCAGTGGAGTTTTTAGTTCATCATATGCCATGGAGCAGGTATTGAGTAATAAATCATATCTTTTTTAAAACAGGATTTTAATATCTTTATCTTCAGTCCATATAGATTTGGATGATTGTGTCCTTTCCTCTCAGACAAATCCTGACTCTTCAGAAATGTATCCCTGGGAAGCACTGGGCATCAATGGGAGGAGATACATAATTTATCAATCTTCTGGACCACAGACTCTTCTGAGTCCTGAAGCATTCTGTCTGGCCACTTCTGCCGCTCCTCTCATCCACCTCTCTGCATTGAGTCATTGATTTTCCCATTAGCAGTCACACATGCTGTGTTATTTCTATCACCTTAAAAAAAAAAAAAAAAGCTCTCTCTTCCCCAGTTTCACCTTCAGTTCCTGCCCTTTTCTCTCCTTCCCAGATCAGCAAACTATCACCTTAAAAGAGTTCTTTGAACTCTTTTGCCATCCTCTTTTTATGCTCTTTTCAAGGTTATCTCTTACTTCTGCCTCTCAGTCTTCATCTTCTTGACCTTTCAACGGAGTTGGTACATGTGATCACTTCCCCTTGAAATATTTTCTTCACTTGGCTTTCAGGTCTTTGTGTGATTGTATGTTTTTAACTTAGCATAATCTTGCTATAGATGTCAAAGAATCCTTCAGGGTTAGTATTAGTACTGTGGATTTTTTTTAAAAATAACTAGACAGTACTTATATATAGCAAGAATTTAAGAAAGAAATTTCATTCAGAAATGGTATTATGACAGTTAATTAGCAAAAGAAATAGTGTATGTAGCATCTTCAAGTTTAATATGTTATTTCATATTTATCCTGAATTATTAAAAATCTTCACCTATATAAATACATTTTGGGGATGTCTAGTTTCTTATTCCTTTAATCACATCTGAGTCTCTTCTATGCATGTATATTCTTTTCCTACCTTTAGAAAAATCACTTAGATTACACATATATCTATGTATTGTGTGTGAGCATATGTGTTTGTGTATATATCTAAACTAATAAAAGGGTAATATGCTAATTAGACCGGGTGACCAGCCATCTTCCAGATGTCAGACTTCCTTCTGGACAAAGCCATGGTGGTAGGGGCCAAGGCAGAGGCAGTTAGGGGCGATCAGGCCGGCAGGGCAGGGCAGTTGTGAGCCATCAAGCCGACAGGGGAGGGCAGTTGGGGGCCATCAGGCTGGCAGGGGAGCGGTTAGGAGCTAGCAGTCCTGGATTGTGAGAGAGGTGTCAGACTGCCGGTTTAGGAATTAGGCCTAAACCAGCAGTCGGACATGCCCCGAGGGGTCCCAGATTAGAGAGGGTGCAGGCCCGGCTGAGGGACACCACCCTCCATGTGCCAATTTCATGCACCAGGCCTCTAATATGACTTTCATTTTGCTTTTAAGTCACTCATTGGCTTGTTTCCTCCTGATGAGCTCTTGGTCAGCTTTCAGTGGTGCCCACTCTCCATTCTAGTAATTACACCTACCTTTGTTTTATCTCTCTTATTCTGCCTACCATTGGGCACCTGAGCCCCCACCAGCAGGTGGGTATGAGAGGAGAGCTCAGGTAGTAAGCATACCAGAAGGTGAGAGATCTCCGACTGTTCCCATATGCGCTTCATGCAGATGGTCACTGTGCTCCCCTCCATTTCCCCAGTGATCAGGTTTCAGAACTAATATTTGCATTGTGCATTTGATTAAAAAAAGATAATTCTTTTGTAAATTTGTATTTATATTTGCCTTTTTTCCCTCAGGAGAAATCCCTTCCTGGTGTTGTGATGGCACTTGTGTGTAATGTATTTGACATGCTTTACCAGCTTGCCAATCTAGAGGAGCCAAGGTAAATATAAATAGAGGGAACCAAGAAACTTTTCCCTGGAAATGGATTTACTTTACATCTAATTCTAAATGACTCTGTTATTGAAACTGTGATTTATCTGAAAAAATTTCAAATTTGAAAAATTTCAGGATAACTCTACGAGTACGAAAGCTTCTGCTCTTAATACCCACTGATCCAGCCATTCAGGAAGCCCTTGACCAACTGGATTCTTTAGGAAGAAAGGTATGGGTATCTAGGGGGGTTAATTAACTGTCATGGAGTTTTATATCATGATTCAGTGAAAATACAACACCGAATCACACTACATCATTTGATACCTTTTTCTTAATGATTTTTCTTCTTTTGAAAAATACCTCATCTGTAAATGGAAATCAGACTTCGTGTTGGCTTTTAAAGTATCAAAATGGAGTGAAAACTTATGTCAGATTTTAAAACCAGAAGAGTCTTTCATATCATCTACTTCTACCTTCATGATATATGTTAGGAAACCAAAGCCCAGAGAGAATGGAGTACCAGGCTTAGACTCTGGCTCCGATTCTTCTCTCATGATGCCTCTCTGATTGTGATTTGGTTATCTTTTCAGTTTCTCACTGTTGATACGTAAGATTCATTTTATTTAGTTTTTAGGATATCGTTCCATTATGTATATATTGAAATTGTGTTTAACCCATTGTTTATGTTCTCAGAATAAATTAATTTATAACAAAGTTGTTAGAATTAAGTTATGAATTTTATATTTAAGGGGTTGACATTTAGACAACTTAATCTTGTCATATTTGGCTTATATACTAGCTTGAGGGAGAAGAGAGCTAATGTAATAAAACATATCACTAGTACTAGTTCAAAAAATTCTCAAAACTACCACTTTTGCAATCTTATAACTTCATTATCAGTATTTAGAGGTACAAGTTTTAAAAACACAAAACAAATTAAGATGACCTTGTTGATGTTGTTTAAAATAGGATTGTCATGCTGTTGAGCATGTATAGTTTGTGAGATAGAATTTGGTGTCTTATTAATAACTGTAGAGCTCATGTGGTTTTATGAGATTAAGTTTTAGAAAATATCATTGGTGTGGATTATATTTAAAAGGAAAAGACTATCAGAATGTATACAGATATCTGTTTCTTTTTAATTTGTGCTTTTAATACATACATTCTCTTTTTCATTCTCTTAACTTAGAAAACATTGCTGTCTGAAACAAGCTCTCAGTCTTCAAAATCTCCATCCCTCTCTTCAAAGCAGCAGCACCAGCCAAGCGCCAGCTCAATTCTAGAGAGTCTCTTTCGATCTTTTGCTCCAGGAATGTCCACCTTTCGAGTGCTTTACAACTTAGAAGTAAGAAACCTATTTCTTTGCACTTCGTTTTGGTTTGTAGAATCATGCTTTCTGATGACAGAAACACGTTAACAGGTTTACTCTGTTAAAACTTAGTTTTTAAAAAGTACAAAATAGAATATAAATTGGAATATTTTGGTTTTTGCCTTTGTAAATGTCAACTTTTTTCAGTTTATGCTTATGTGCATTGTTATACTTGCAAAATAGCATCTAAATAAATAATTAGGAAGCTTTATTAAAATGTGTCTTTACCTTCCTCTAGAAGTTCTGTAATTATATATAATGCCAGTTATTAATCCTGAGCCTTCTTGCTATTAAATGTATCTTCTTTTTAAAAAAACTGTTGTAGCCGAAACCGGTTTGGCTCAGTGGATAGAGCATTGGCCTGCGGACTGGAAGGTCCCAGGTTTGATTCCGGTCAAGGGCATGTACCTGGGTTGCAGGCACATCCCCAGTAGGAGATGTGCAGGAGGCAGCTGATCAATGTTTCTCTCTCATCGATGTTTCTAACTCTCTATCTCTCTCCCTTCCTCTCTGTAAAAAATCAATAAAATATATTAAAAAAAAATAAAAATAAAAAAACTGTTGTAATTGTTTACATTAATGCAGCTTTATGAGGAATTTGTCAGAAGATATGTTAACATGATTATTTCAAGGTTATAAAAAAAACCGTTAGAAGAATTTGAGCAAAAGAATATTTTTATTACCCTTCTCCTCCAAAGTGGCTTTAAACAAATAGATTTAGTTCAGTAAACATTTACTAATTACTTAACCATCTACAAGTTATTGTGATAGTTAGGGGGTCAGAGTTGGAAAGACAAGGTATTTGCTCCCAGGTCTTATGAGTAAGACATAGGAAGAGGCTGGATATGCTGAGTCTTGAAAGCCAAGCATTAACAAAGCAGTGTGGGAGAGTGACCAGGGGACCAGGTGGAAACAGTCCTGCTCCTGAAGGGTCAGCGATCGGACCCTTGTGCATGTTAGGTCTGGAGAAAATAAAGCTCTAGATGATCTTGCTTGACCTAGGAAATTATATCCAGGCAGTTCGTTATTAAAGAATCCATAGCACTACCTAAGCAGCCTTAATTATCAAATTAATGTTGAGTAGATTTTGAGTGATGATAAAGGCCATAATTACTAATCGGTACCTGGTTGGATATTTTTTCCAAGTTTTATTTCATCTGACAATCTTAATAGATTGATTCATTTTATGGTCTACATGTTGCTTATATGTTCAAACTGTGGTAACATTTCACGTTTGCCTTAAAATAATTACTCTTGTCAAAAGATGTGTTGGATTCAAAAGTAGAAAATACTTAGTGAATATTTAAAAAATAAAGCATACCTTTATTTGATGTGGGCATTTAAAATAGGTAGACTATCCCAAAACAGAAAATTGCTTAGAAATTCTTGGCCAGTTTAAGCCTATAAATTTTGAACTTTCCACTGCTGCCAGATTTGCCTTTAGCTTTCAAATGATTGTCTCAAAAGTTAAGGTATAAATCTTAACATCCACATTTGAGAGCACCTAGAAAAGCAGAATGGCCCAACAGTGGGTCTAGCTTGTCTTTCAGCTACCTAGATGGCAGTATCTTAGAGCCAAAGGACTCAGTAGCAAAATACCTCCAGTACAATTTTAGGACTTCTGTTAACTGGGATTCCTTTGGTAGGTTTTCTTTTGCTTTAGACAACACAAAACATTTGGAAAACATAACACTCCCAAAAGCACTTATCTTTACTATTAGAAAGATTCAATTCCTCCCATTTTGACCTTTAACTTATGTTTGCCTACTAAGAAACTTCTTAGTGGATCTTCCAAATACCCATTGATTTGGAGAAACATTTTATTTTCACTGAATTATTATCCATTTAGCATGGGGAGTGTGTGCACGTGGCTGTCAGCACTCTCTCATAGAGTCACAGAGGGTTTCCATTTTCCTATGTAAGGCTCATGAATCAGGGCTGATGAAACTGTTTCCCAAAGAGCAACTCAGGAGGAAAGCATTTTAAAAATAAAAAATCTCACACTAAAAGTCTAAGCTCATAGAACCCCATAGGTTCATAGGAGCAGATTATTTTTTTTTCAGAATAGGAAAGGATCTTGAATTACATCTAGTTTAAAACCTTGAAGAAATTGAGACAATGAGTCTTTATTTAAAATTCTAAATTATAATAACTAAATTAGCCAGCTCTTTCTGCTTTGTGCCTTGTGCTTATGCTAAACACCTTAAGCTTGCGTTATCTTAATTTAATCCAAACAATCCTCTGGTAAAGGTAATTATTATCCCAATTTAGCTGATGAGAAAACTGAGGCAAAAAGAAAACTTACATGCCTGAGATTATTTCTGTGAAATAATTCTCTTGTCATACCAAAATATTCAGTTAAGCTTTTCTTTAGGTAGGTATAAGAGTGTTATAAAAGGGGCATGGATATTAAAGTGAGATACATCTGGATTTAAATTCTAACCATGTGACCTTGGGTGGGAGGTCACTAAACCTCTCAGGTCACAGTCTTTACCTATAAAATTAAATAATGTACATATGCCATGCATAGTGAGATGAGATAATGCATGTTAAGTACCTCATCTTATACCTAGATGCTCAATAAGTAGGAACAAGTTAGAATCATTAGTGGGGACTCATCTAGCACTTTTAGTAAATGGGCTGTTTTATAAAACTTATATACTTTTTTAAAAAATACGAATTTTTTTTATTGATTTCAGAGAGGAAGGGAGAGGGAGAGGGAAAGGGAGAAGGAGAGAGAGATAGAAACATCAATGATAAGAGAGAATCATTGATTGGTTGCCACACTGGGGATTGAGCCCACAACCCAGGCATGTGTCCTGACCAGGAATTGAACCCATGACCTCCCGGTTCATAGGTCGATGCTCAACCACTGAACTACACCAGCCAGGCTTAACTTACATACTTTTTAAATAACATATCTAGCATACATCTATTCTTATCTAAGCCTGAGAGACAGAGACATTCACATTTGATGGTTTTATGAAAAGAGAGCACATCACCTTTCTTCAAAACAGGTTTTTCTTGCTAAGTAAATAGAACTTGGAAAATGTGATTATTTATTTGTGAAACATCAGCCTCCTTATACTTCTGGGTGGAAAAATGGCATGCAGCATTTAAAGAAATTGTGACTTGAGTTGTGTGATTATTTAGTAAAGGAATAATTTCTGCTGGAAATGTTGGGATGATTAATTGTGCTTATCTATTTCAAGGTTCTAAGCTCCAAACTTATGCCAACAGCTGATGATGACATGGCAAGAAACTGTGCAAAATCCTTCTGTGAGAACTTCCTCAAAGCAGGAGGTTTGAGGTTAGTGTCCCAGTATAATGTTACATGAATTGCAGAAAATAATTCTATTCTTTTTATTAACTTCTCTTGCCAAGCCTTGCTTATTCCTACAAGGTATTATGTGAAGCATTATGAGAGTTTTAATAAGAAGGAATGATGTCTCAGCCTTTGGAATATTTTAATTTGTTTTATGGTTTTTGATTATTTAAAAAACTTAGAGAAGCATGTCTCTTTCTGCTCTGGTAGTGGGGGAGTCTCAGGAAGAGGAAAGGTGAAGAGGCTAAATCAGTTTCTGTTAATCCCACATCCATTTATGCTAAGGCGAATTTGATTCCCAGTAGTCCATGTTGTGGAAGGCATTAGTTCTGAGGCTGCAAAGATAAATTAGGTATTATCCCTGCCCTTAAGAGGCTCATGGTTTAACAGTTATTATAACTATTAATATAAAAGCTTATAAAAATCACTTTCGTGGAGTGGAGGTTATGAAAGAAACTAGTGGTTAAATTGACTAAATTTGGTTGGGGTCATAAGATTAGGAAATGCTTCACTGAAAGTGACATTTGAGTTGGGAGTTGTGAAACCAGTAGTCAGTGTGGTCATTCCCTGGGTAAACAAGGAGGGCAGGGGCACTCTGAGCCAGAGGTGGGGGGCAGGGAATGAATGAAGCACTGAAGAACATGGCCCCTCTTGGGAATATAGTTGCCAGGTGAGGCTAATGCCAAGGACAAGGGAGAGAAATATATAAAGAAGAGTCACATTGAGGAATCCCAACATTGTATTGTAGACCACGGAAAAACAGGAAGTTTATAAACCAGGAATTACCTAGAACTCTGGCTACGTTGGAGAAGAATGGAAATAGAAAAGACCTAAGTTCAGGGAGAACTGTTAAGAGCTGTGACAGTGCTCGAGAGAAGAGACAACAGGTTCTAAATTTAGGGCGGTGGTAGAATGACATTTATGTGGTAAAATAGGCAAGTCTTTATGACTAGATATATGACTACGGTAGGAACATTTATAGATTGACCCTATCATTGCTGCTTGAGAAAGAGGATAAATGGTGACTCTCTAGTCCTTATGGGAAATAAACATGGAAGGAGATGGAAGAAACCGAGGAAGTCAAGAGATATTAATTTGATTGCATAGGAGGTCCCTGTGAGTCATGTGAAGTGGATGGTTTCGATAGGGTGCTCTTGAGAGATGTGGAGATTTGGGAGAGCCATCAATGTAATTGCAGCCATTGCGGCATAAGCAGTTGGTAGAGCTGAGTGGCAGGGATAAGTCTAGGAAGTAGAATCTGTATGCGGATGTCTCTGCTTTACAATGAGTGACCTAAAGGGGGTGACAGTACTTTGATGGGAAGGATAAGAGAAAAGTTCCCTTTTTTTGTTTTGGTTTTAACTTGTAGAAGACTTGATTCTCTTTGTAGGCAGACCAGAAGGGGCTGATGAAAAAGAGACAAATAAAGATGAAAAGGGGATGATCAATTGAGGGACTGTGTTCTGCAGTTGAAAGATTTGCATTAGGAAGAAGTAGGCATGCAATTTCTTCCAGGAGTGAAAACCAACTTGAAGATAGTTAAAGTTCTGTTCGGAGGCCCCGAGGGGAAGAGAAGTTGGGTGAGACCATGGAGAGATAAAGGGGAGGAGAACTAAAGAGAGCTGAAGGAATTCCAAAGCATGTGGAAGGCCTAGTGCACATATGGTTTTATTCTTTGTTCAGTATTGTAGAGATGTTCTTACAACAATTTAATTCAGTTTATTCGGCCAATTACAGAACTATGGTAATAAAGGCATTTTACTTCTGGTTTATTCTTGTATGTCAGTTAACTTATATGCCAGGCAGTTTTCTAAGCAATGAACAGAGTGGCAAGTAGATTAGACCAAAACCCATATCCTCATGAAGCTTACTGTCTAGAGGGGGAAAGAGATAATAAAGGCAGAAGTAAAAGTAACAGTGTATGTCAGGTGGTTATAAGAGCTGCAGAGAAAAATAAGACAAGAGGGGATGGAGGGAATGGTCAAGGAAAGCTTTACTTGATGGGGTGACATTTTACAGACATGATGGAGGTATAGAGTGAGACCATGATCTCCTGGGGAAAGCTGTCTACAGGAGCAGCCACCTTAGTGGAACCCACCTGATGGCTGCAGAGACCAGCAGGAGGCCAGTGTGTTTGGGGCAGTGAGGCAGGCAGCAGAGGGGACGTGAGATTATAGACATAGGTCAGGTTATGTAGGATTTTATAGGCTACTGTGAAAATTGCCTTTTTTCTGTAGGAAATAGGAAACCATTGGAGGATTTGTACAGAGGAGGAGTGTCATGATCTGACTTAATCTTGAAAGGATCTCTCTGGTTGATCTTTTGAGACTAGATTTTGGAGGTGGAGCATTAAGAATGGAAGCAGGAAGCCCTAACTGTTTTTGCTCAGTGGATAGAGCATCAGCCTGTGGACTGAAGGGTCCCAGGTTCGATTCCAGTCAAGGGCATGTACCTTCTTTGCAGGCACATCCCCAGTAGGGGGTGTGCAGGAAGCAGCTGATAGATGTTTCTCTCTCCTCGATGTTTCTAACTCTCTATCCCTCTTCCTTCCTCTCTCTAAAACATCAATAAAAATATATTAATAATAAAAAAAAAGAATGGAAGCAGGAAGAACAGTTGGGAAGCTTCTGCAGTAATATAGATTGGAGTGGCCATGAAAAAACAAGCTTATTGAATACACCAATTCTGGATATATTTTTGAATTGTTAGTTCACATTAGTAAACTCAGGCCAGTTAGCAAGAAGGTAACTATGCAAACATTCCGTGTTGGAGATCCTTCTTTGACTTAACAAGGAGTCTAATTCTAAATGGATGAGAAGGGTTATAGGTATCATAAGAAGTCATTGGGATAGAGATATGTGTGGTTCATTTTATATGTAAGGCTCTTGTAGGAATTTTGAGTGATAGATAACATTTATTAGCAATTAAATTACAGAAATTTTCTTATGAAAGAAATAGAAGTCTTTAATATCCTGTCTTCTTTCTGTTTTTTGAAGTTTGGTTGTAAATGTCATGCAGAGGGACTCCATCCCATCAGAAGTCGACTATGAAACAAGGCAGGGAGTTTATTCTATCTGTCTACAACTCGCAAGGTATGTCAATATGTTGTGTTAGTCTCACAAGGCAAGACTCGACTCTACTTTTCTCACCAATTCAGTCATTTTAAGTAGTATGAAATGAGTTTGAATAAGTCTACCTTTTTATTTCCTTTTAAGATTTTTACTTGTTGGACAAACAATGCCCACGTTATTAGATGAAGACATTGCCAAAGATGGTATAGAGGCACTTTCTTCTCGCCCATTCCGAAACATTAGCCGGCAGACCAGCAGGCAGATGTCCCTATGTGGTACCCCAGAAAAGTCGTCCTACCGACAGTTGTCAGTGTCTGATAGGTATTCTATTAGGGTGGAGGAAATCATTCCTGGTGCAAGAGTTGCAATACAAGTAAGTGATTTGTGTATTCAAGAATTAGTAAGTACCTCCTGTTTAGAAACAACTGGTTGAGGGGCGGGACCATTCGGATATCCTATATATTAAAGGGTAATATGCAAATTGACCAAATTTCGGAACGACAGGTTGCTATGACGTTCACTTACCGCGGGGAGTGGGCCTAAGCTATCAGTCGGACATCCATCTGTGCCAAGAGCTCCCAGACTGCTAAAGGGCACAGGCTGGGCTGAGGGCCTCTAGTATTGAATATTGACATGAATATTAGCTTAAAGGAATTTATAGTAAGAAAGAGACCACTTATTTGGAAATACTATAATTGAAGGTGGAAAATGTCAAGTGTTATAAGAAAACTACAAAGACAAAACATTCTATAGACCTTCAGAGGAAGTGGAATAATTACCTTCACCTGTGGCCTTCATGGATGATTTTATGTGGGAGGTGGCATTTAAGGTAGGCCTTGAAGAATAGATTAGGATTAGATATGTAGAGCTAAGTATGGAGAGTTGGAGAGAGGAGAGTCGTTCAAAAAAAAAAGGAGGGCGTGAGCAAAGTTAGAGAAAACCCAGAGCCTTATTGGGGGCGGTTCGGGGGGCAGGGGGTGTTCACACAGCAGTTCACACAGGCAAAAATGTATTGTGAGGCAGGGGGGAAATGGTGAAAACAAAACTGTTGCCAGGTAATTTAAAGCCAGAACATGGAGATCATAGTTCTTGTTTACAGGTAGCAGAGAGATATTGAAAGTCTTTGAACAGCATGGAAGCATTAAAAAGGTGGTCTTCTAGGTCCGTGGTCGGCAAACTGCAGCTTGCAAGCCACATGCAGCTTTTTGGCCCCTTGAGTGTGGCTCTTCTTAAGCCTTAGGAGTACCCTAATTAAGTTAATAGCAATGTACCTACCTATATAGTTTAAGTTTAAAAAATTTGGCTCTCAAAAGAAATTTCAATCGTTGTACTGTTGATATTTGGCTCTGTTGACTAATGAGTTTGCCGACCACTGCTCTAGGTGATCTTGGAGGGAAAGAATCTCACAAACTGAGACTAGTAGGTCATAGAAGCCAATGGATTTTTCCATCCTTCTGTAGACAATGGAAGTAAATGATTTTACTTCCACTGTGGCTTGTTTCATGAGACTGTCGTGGGCTGCTGCTGCAGGACGACTTGACCTTGTTGGGAGTAGCCAACCAATAAAAGAAAGTAATTCTCTGTTTCCTGCTGGAATTCGAAACAGGCTCAGCAGTTCAGGTACTGATTAAAAAGGATAAAGTAATTAGAGTATTGGGCAAGAAATAGCTGTAAGAATCATCTCTGTATAGTTTGCACATTCCTATATGTATGTCATACTTCATTTAAGAAAAAAAATAAACAGTGGGGACACCAAATCAAACAGTTTTTATCTTGCTCAGTGTAAAATGTCATGAGGCCAGTAACTGTGGCTGTAATAAAAATTCATCTAAGATTCCTTCATGGAAAAGTCATTTTCTTGGTTCAGCCACTTATTTCTACTAGACCTTTATAAGTAGCTTTACTTTTCAGCTTCATTTGGTTTCCCTGTTCAATCTATGAGTTTGTGTATACATCAGTATGAAAAAAAATTTTAATGTGTGACAGATATATAATAAAGTGCAGAAATATTAACACGATTTTTACATATTGTAACCCATCTGCATCACAATAAGGAGTATTTTTAACATCCAAGGAAGACTTTCTAATGGCTCCAAAATTGCACTGTTCTGTCACCTGAAATTAGTTTTGCCCCATAAACTATGTATAAAACAGTCAGGGTCATGAAAAGTGATTAAGTCTCTCTTATTTCTTAGACCAAAGTGTCTTCTTGGATTATTTAATTTCACTTGAGGATTCTGGGGAACACATTAAAAGGCTATGAGAAGATCTACTGGTCCTATGGGACCATAGTAACCTTCTGCTTGCTCCTCTCCAGGAAGCAATTGCAGCTCTGGAAGTGAAGGAGAGCCAGTCGCCCTGCACGCAGGCATCTGTGTGCGCCAGCAGTCCGTGTCCACCAAAGACTCCCTGATTGCTGGCGAGGCTCTGTCTCTCCTGGTTACCTGCCTACAGCTTCGGAGCCAACAGCTGGGTATGCAGGAGGCTTGCTTGGGATTCCTCTCCTTTAGGGAAAGGGGTTTCTGTTGGGAATTATTTACGTGCCTTTATAGATACAAGGTTATGTTATAGAAATGAAGAGGGGCACGCTGGCATGTGGAACAGGTAAGTAAAGTGCTAGAGTAGTGAGATTTTGAGCAAGCATTTACTGAGCACCTTCTATATATAAGGTTCCATAGCGAGTGCTATAAAAAGCAGTATCTTTGCCCTCCAGGAGCTTACTGTCTAGTTGGGGAATTAAAACAACCCTAATTATAGTTCATAAACTATAGAATTTGAATTATATATCAGTAATGACTTCACTTAAAAACTTTGTAATTTAAGATTTGCCCTTTTAACTTTATTGTTGGCTTTAGCAAAGTGGGGCTGTTATGAATCAAACTTTTTGTGTTAAAACATTCCAGGGCTCGGTCCTACATCACTGCGGTCTCATCCATTTTCACAGCTTTCAATTTCTACTATATGCTGATACCTAAATTTGGGTCTCCAACCTGGACTACACCCCTGACATTTCCACTTAGATCTCAAATAGGCTTTCTAGACTTAGCATATACACAACTGAACTATTGATCTGGCCCATGTCAGCTGAGTGTTTTCCCAACTTAATTATTTAGCACTCTTGCTCTGGCCAAAACCTTGGAGTCATCCTCAATTTTTTTTTCACATTCCACTTCTAAGCTGTTGGCACATCCTCCTTTAAACTATATCTAGATTCTACCTCTTCACTATTATTACCCTCTGATCTGCCATCATCTCTTACTTGGATCACAGCCTTTGTACCCTAACTAATCTCCCTGCTTCTACCCTTGCAGTTTATTCTCCACACAGTAAGCAGAGTGGACCTTCTTAAATGTAAGTTAGATCCTATCACTCTTCTGTTTAAAACTTTGCAGTGGCTTCTCAGTTCACACTGAGTAAAAGCCAAATCTTCACTAAGGCCTTCGAGGCTAGACACAATCTGATACCTGTGTGCCTTCACCTTCTCCAGCTCTCCTCACCTACTGTGACTGCTTCAACCACCCTCGCACATTCCTGCCTCAGGGCCCTTGCACTGGCTGCTCCCTCTTCTGGTATCTTCTTCGGCCATCTGTCTACATTGTTCTCTCTTCCTCATTTCCTACAAGTCCTTGCTTAACGTTACTTTTTCAGTGAGACATTCTCTGACCACCTTTTAGAGAAATCACATCACTCCCCTCAAGCTCCAGCACTACCTAAAACCTGCACCTTATTTTTTGCTGTGTCAGTTATCATTTTATAACAAATAATACAATTGATTTACTTGTCATGTTGTCTTCACCCCCTCCGCAACTAGGCTGTAAGCTCCATCAGGACAGATTCTTGTCCATTTTGTTCCCTACTCAGTCTCCAGCACTGTCCAGTGCGTAGTAGGCCCTCAATAAATATTTATTTATTCAGGAATAAAGTCTTAAAGTTTCACTTTTAAAAATTGTGCCAATACATTATGGGCTCTATTCTTCACTGTTATTACTGATTTAGGCTGCCTGTTATATAGATGTGATCATTATGTATTTACTGTAACACCTAAGTTCATTTTATAATATAAACATATAGAAAAGGTTAGAGATTTGTCACGTTGCAATAGTATTCAAAACTATTTACTTTGACAAGAATGCTTTTGAAGGTTTATATATGAGAAGTGTGAGTCATGACATACTTTTGAACACAGGCCATAGTACTTAGTTAAATTTTCCTATAATTGTTTAATTTTAGAGGTATTTTCAAATAAAAATGAAAAAAATTATAACTTCTCTTCAATTTTCTTTATCATTATTTAAGTTTGTGGTAGGGTATATTTTATAGTTCACAAGTATTAGTAGTTTATCAACACAAGACGTATTTATTCTGTGACTGGTATGTGCAAGGCATTGTACTAAAATGTGAAGGTACAAAGATGACCAAGATGGTCCTGCTCACAGGGATGGAGGCAGTTGTCAAAGGTTTTGAATTTGATTCCATGTAGAAGAGATGAATTTCTGTTGTAGTTAGCTTAAGAAATTATTCAGAATTTTTGAAATTTTGAAAATGTATTTCCTAACTTAATTTCCCCCCCCTGCTCCCAATTTTCCTTATTCTTATCATTAGCATCTTTCTATAACTTGCCCTGTGTTGCTGATTTTATCATCGATATTCTGCTTGGATCGCCAAGTGCTGAGGTAAGGATTGTTTACATTACTTCATAAAAAAACCCCTTTGGTCCTCTTCTGTCTTTGGCTCTCTTGATACCTGTAACATTGTAGAGAATACAGAAGGAATGACATCTTGTCCTCTCAGGGAATCATACAAAGTGACCATTTGGACTGCCTGCCCACCTTTCTATTCCATATCCCTCAAAAAGTTAAGAGACTAGTTCTAAAATTAATTTTTGTTTGTTACAAACAAAATATTACAGCCAGTGTTCAACACCCATAGCTGGCAAGGACAGCTGGCATTAAGCATCAACATGTTGGTCAAAATCAAGACCAACTTCAAGCCATGAATTTTCCCTAGATTTTATAATTCTGATTGTCTGGCATGACATTGAAAATTAACTTTCCTTATTTTCATTTATATTAAGTTATAAATCTATTGATTAGAAAAATAAAATGGTTTCGGAAATCAGTTCCCAGAACACACTTGTTTTTAATCCTAGTTTATTCAATGTAAACTTTACCATTAATATTGAAACACTTGGACTCTAGAGTATCCTTCAAAGTGTAGACTTTGAAGGAGAACCATTTTTGAAGCAATCTTTTAAGTGGATGATGGATGTTCTTTGCCACTAATTAATTCCAGATTCGCCGTGTTGCCTGTGATCAACTGTACACTCTTAGTCAGACAGATACTTCAACTCATCCAGATGTACAGAAGCCAAATCAGTTTCTTCTAGGCGTGATTCTCACAGCTCAGCTGCCTCTCTGGTCTCCAACTAGTATTATGAGAGGAGTCAATCAGAGGTACGTGATAAAGATGAGAAAGCTCACATTATACAGAAAGAATAATGAGTTGGGTACTGCTCCCCTAAAGTCCACTGTGCATTATGGAGATGACAGAAGAATCTCTCCTCTTCTAGCATTTGTGTCTGAAAGAGGGCATTTCAGTGTTTTTCCCAATTCAGGATTGGAGAGTTAAAATAATACCAAGGCTTCTCTGTCACCCCCAGTTCCCACCTCCATCTCCCACCTCCCCCTTACCTGGTTGGTAAGAGCCTGAAACAATTCAAGCCAGATCACTGTGTAAAGGTCACACTGCTCATGTCTTCTTAGTGTCACAGTCTCAGCTCAGCATACTTCACAACTCCTCTGTGTATCTGTAATGGTAAAATCATTAATGTGCCTCTTGCTAAAATAATGAAGTTGAATTAATGTAAAAGTAGTTACTTTGTGCTAGGAAAAGTCTCATTCAATTGTTTTTATGAACTTCTTATAATAAAGAAAATTATTTTTATTTTGAAATCAGCCTCTTTTTAATAATTGAAATCTGTTTTTTAGACTGTTGTCTCAGTGTATGGAATATTTTGACCTGAGGTGCCAATTATTAGATGATTTGACAAGTAAGTAAATGTCTAACTTTGATTTGTATGGGGGGAGTAAATTCGAGGGGGTGGGAAAGAGAAAAGAAATCCAAGTGGACATTTCTAATTCTGACTTAATGTATCGAGATATAAGTGAGATTATAACTATTATTTGAGGTTGAATTTTATTTTCCTGAAAATAGCATGTAAACCCCATATGCCAGTTTTCTATTATGTATCCAACTATTATATGCTGAGAGAATCTGTTGATTTTAAAAATTGTCAAAGGCGCTTATACTTTAATTAAACTGATACAGAGCTATTAAGAAGTCTTTCTAGTATGGTCCATTCTGATCATTTTTCAAAAGTTGATTATTGAAAGAAAGAGGAAATGTCTATTGAGATGTGTTGATAGTAATAGAAGTGAGTGAGAGAAGTAGACAGGATTCGTATCTGGTGCCGGTCCAGCTTTGGCTGACCCTGACGTATCCCTTTTTACCTCCTCATCTGGGACCCTGCTTGCTGTAGCTTATAGTGCAGGGAAAGTAGAGCATAATCACTCCTCTCCTACCCAACCCCAATTTCCAATATGGAATCTTGTTTTAAATCCTTTTTGGAGGGGAAGTGAAATATGCTTCATATGAGCAGTTCTCTGGAGTTTGGCACATTGTTTGGAATCCTGAACTCCGCTACTGTGTTGTTGACCTCTCTCCTTTGCAGAACTCTGCCCCCTGGAGGCGTAGGTAACACTGTGGGAGCATTGGCTCTCCTCATACCCTTCCATCTTTCCTTCTCAACAAAGGAGCTTATTTTAAACAAGGATTGTCTCCTTCATCTTACATCCCCAGCTTGTAACACAGTGACCTGCACAGAAGAAGCACTCAGCATATGTTTGGTTTATGACTGAGAGTGAGTGAAGGAAGGAAGGAATATGCATGAGCTGTCATAGTCCTATGGGTATAGCTAGAGCCTGAGATTTATTCATGACAGCGCTTGTTTGTTTTTTGAGTTTGACGAAGTGAAAGTTTGGGACATCTCTCTGCCTACTTTAATTCAGGATTTTGACTCCATCAAGGGAAATACTTCTCTTTAAGAAATTGATTTTTTTTTCCTTAGCTTCAGAAATGGAGCAGTTAAGAATCAGCCCAGCTACCATGCTTGAAGATGAGATTACTTGGCTGGATAACTTTGAACCTAATCGCACAGCTGAATGTGAGACCAGTGAAGCAGACAACATCTTATTGGCAGGACACTTACGGCTCATTAAGACCCTTCTTTCACTCTGTGGGGCAGAAAAAGAAACCCTGGGTAATTATTGCTTCATCTTGTGATGTGACAGAATAGCTCATTTTCAGTTCCTGCCATAGTATCGTGTGTAATTGGGAAAATAAGATAAGTGCTAAGTGTTGCATAGAAAATTGGCCCTTCAGGCAATAGGAGATTGTCTGGCTTAATGCCTAACGAATTTAAGGTATATTTTACCGGTGTCATTAAACTATATAGGGAATTTTATAGTGTTCAAAAGAGTTGGATCACATAACTTAATACCAAATAAAAATTATAATTCAAAGTAGGTTTTTCTCTTTTTGCTGTTGGGTACTTTATAAAATATAATCTGTTGTATACCTTACTTCTTTTAAGAGTAATTTTCTTCTAGGGGGGCAGCCCCCAACCACTACCCCTAGAAGATGGATGAGTCTCCTGAGTTACATATGTAATTTGTACAAATATATTAAGTATTATAATTATATTCAGGAAACAAATCAAAACAGTAATTACCACATTTATCACACAAACTAAGCTCTACAAAAAAATCTTTTTAGCAACTGGGGATACATAGAAAAGAGTGATTCTAAACCAGGGTAAGAAGGGCAGATTATTTTTACCTAATGAAGGCAAGATTTTTAAAAGTTTTAAAACCCCTTAAGTGGATTCCCTATGCCCCAAGTTAGAATTATTTATTCAAACCATCTATCTTGTGCTGTTCTTGGCATTTGTGTTTCTAAAATGAAAATTCGACTCCTTTCACTCTGTTGTAAGTCCATAAAGGAAGGTACCCTCGTTTGTCTATCTTTATATCCTGTACCCTGACCCTACCAGCCATCCCCACCCCTCTACACCAAGAGCTTTGCCAAAAATTAAGCATTAAACTAAATTGAATGCCCTGCTATTGAGTGGCTTAGGTGCCTTTGCCTTTGATATGAAGTGCAAGACAGGATCTTTGAATTAAAATGTGTGTTCATCCTCAACATGAATATTATGCTCTATTCCAGGTTCATCACTCATTAAACCATTGTTAGATGACTTCCTTTTCCGAGCTTCTAGAATTATTTTAAATAGTCATTCTCCAGCTGGCAGTGCCGCCATCAGTCAACAGGACTTTCATCCAAAGTATGGAAAATGCACGTTGTGTTCAGTTTTGGTAAAAATTCTAATTCAAAACATTAGTCCAAAAAGATTTTCTTAACTTGGAGTTTGTCTTCTATCTTGTGAGTGTGCATAGCTTATAAGATCTTATGCACTATACAAAGAAATGCATGTAAAGAGACTTTCATATTAATTTCTGTGGGTAGAAAGGTGGAAGATCCTTTTGTAATACTAACCCTATATGGGTGGTGTTTATACTCTTTTTTTTAAAAATATATTTTTATTGATTTTTTACAGAGAGGAAGGGAGAGGGATAGAGAGTTAGAAACATAGATGAGAGAGAAACATCAATCAGCTGCCTCCTGCACCTCCCCCCACCCCAACTGGAATGTGCCCGCAACCAAAGTACATGCCCCTGACTGGAATCGAACCTGGGACCCGTCAGGGATACTCTTAAAGATAGGAGGTTATTTGCTCTGAATCTGACTTTGTTCTATTCTCATGAAAACCAGAGTTAATTGAGTAATCCCGAGGAAACTGAAGATTTGGCATTTATCCAGTCGAAAAAATTCCTACATAATTCAGTGGTTGATAAAATGGGCAAGGCATAATAAGCAATATTTTATGGAACCCTAAAGGAATCCTATGTGGGAATATTTCTCCACTTAGAGATCCCTTATTAGCATAATCTGTTTTAGGTAAGAAGCCTTCATTAGGACTCTTGGAATGTCACTCAGGATGGAGTGACTCCAATCCCTAGTCCTGTCCCAACCTGTTCTAGAAGATTGGTACTAACTCCATGGGAGTCTTTTCTTAAAGCAGTAGAAATATATGAGTACATTAATTTTTAGTGAACAGAGAAAATAAATTTTCAATTTTACAGACATTTTTATTCGTGAATTCTCACTTTATTAAAAGTAAAACCTTCATCCACAAGGAGTTATTTTTTAAATCATATATAGTGCCTTGAATAGAAAAGGAAACATTTTGTTTCATCTCTCCTCAGTGCACCGAATGGTGTTCATTTATCCCCATTACTCCCAGCATTTTCCTGAATCATAAAGCCAGAAAGAGATTAAAATACACAGAAACTCTTTCGCAGTAATGCCATTTTCATATCACACTAACAGCAAAAGAACTTATTAATATTTAGCCTGTGTATGTGGTACCTCCTATTCATTCTTGTCCTTTGTAACCCAGAAGTCCATGCCTCAGTGGCTGGCTCAGTGCTGATCTGAAAGCCTCACCGCCCCCTCTTGAGCACATCTTCTACACTCCACTTCCTAAGTGTTTCTTCTACACTCCACCTGAAAAGAAAAGTGTCTCTCTGTTAGTAGAGTGTTCCACAGTACCTGCTTATGGATGTATGTCCTCTTTTCTGTGTATCCTTCCTAACCTGTGATCATAGTATTGCAAGGTTGGCATAGGTGATAGTGAGAAATTACTATTGATCCCCAAAGTTGTAATCATTAAAGGTAAGCAGTCTAAACATATTGATTGAGAAAATTATGTATTTTTGTCTCCATTTTTTTCTGCAAAATGGAAAGTTGATTAGTGTCCTTGAAAAATATTTTAGCTGTAGGCACATATAAAATGTTTATGGGCATCTATTCTGATTTCCATAGCTTTCTTTTTCTGCCCTTTAGATATTTGAATTTCAGGGTGATATCTACAGAAATCTTTCTTGCTATCTACTTTAATTGAAAAATAGTTATTTCCATGTTGGGATTTTGATAAAATTTTCAGACTATCCTCTGTTTTTACTCATATGTCCCATAGATAAGAATACTCTGGAATCATACATGACAGATTTTGCTACTTCTTCATCAGGCCACGAAGATATTTAGCTCTAAACCATATTCATCCCTCCAGTATTCATGGCCTCCGCCTTTGTTAAGTCAGCACTCCCACTAGATTTCTAGAGTTCTGCCAGCAGACCTGACTTAACCTAACTCTTTAGGGAATTACAGCTCTTATACTTTCATTGCAAAAATTGACTTGGACTAATTGACTTGTGTCTTTTGTTTTTAGGTGTAGTACAGTGAATAGCCGATTGGCAGCCTATGAAGTCCTTGTAATGTTGGCTGATAGCTCACTTCCAAATCTTCAAATTATTACAAAAGAACTACTTTCCATGCATCATCAACCGGACCCTGCTCTTACCAAGGAGTTTGATGTACGTTTTCTAGACCTTGGGGCACTTAATTTTTTTAGAGTGGTCTCCTAAACATAGAGTTTTTAAAACTATGTTTTCATTTTTCTAATCACAAAGAAAGTCAGGATTACTCTTTTACTTATCATGCTTATATACTCAAGTCAACTATAGTCTATGATGTATTACTTAATGGTACCCTTTTAATTAATTAAAGAGGATACATTTTCAAGTCAGTTAATAATTACTCTCAGTAAAAAGTAGCATTTCAACCTATTTCTTGAGTACGTTTATGCTTGGCAAGACACTAGAGACAAATAAGCATTGGCTCTGTCACACTGCAGTCTTTGTTCAGTTAAATTCAACTAAGATTGATTGAGTTTACTATTTGCTAAGAGGTGTGTTGGGCTTTTGGAGCTCAAAACTAAAGATTGATGCCAGCCCTCAAGGTCAGTGTATAATGGAAGAGACAGATCCATAAGCAGGTAATTTCAATATAATGGGATCAAATTTAAGATAGAGGTATGTGTGGAAAACTCTACTAACAGAGAGACACTTTACCACCAGGTGGTGGTGTTTTGGAAGGCTTCTTAGAAAACGTGAAATTTAAAATAGAGCCTTAAAGACTGTGAGCCCATTGAAGCAAGATGGCAAGGTCAGTCCAGCTGTGGGCAAACCTGTGGAGTCCTGGAGCAGCACATTATATGTTGGGATTGCAAGAGGGAAGCAAGTTGTGGTGCGCTGGAGTATCGGACCAGGAGTGGGAGGGCACTTCTACAGCTGCTTGTACGTTCTCCACTAACATCACAGTCACTTGAGCTGAGTGTTATGAAACATACAGTGTAGGCAGGAAAGGAAGTGGAAACAGGCGTTCTAAATAGAGAAAATGGCACTTGCAGAGTAAAATGTGATGCATAGTTTTACATGTATGTAATCAGATTAAAATGGAAATTTTATTATTTTCATAAATCAGGAATTATAGCAGCATAATGAAAAATGCCTTATATAAATATATTTTTAGCACTGTTATAAAACAATTTTTCTTATTTTTAAACTTTTCTTTTTTTAAATCTATGCTTTGGACTACAAGCAAATTACAGTGGTAATAGATCTTAGAAATCACCCTGCTCTAAGTGTATGTTGAATGTAAATATGTTCCTTTCCATTCAAAAGATCGACAGGGTCTTGTCAGTTGGTTAGGTATTACATGGATACAGATGCTTGATATTTGCAGATAACGTGGGTCTGGTCATGGCATTAGAATCGGGAGACTCAGCTGTAACAGCATTTAAGAGAATGTCATTACAATACCTTTCCACTTGGAGAAGTGCCATGTTGAACTTTATCCAAGATGCCCTTTCTTGATTATTTGTGCATAGAAAAGCGCTGCACTGGGATCTACATTATTACAAACATCTTTACGTGAAATGCTAAGGCATTTACCTGTTTATTTAATTGTGTGCTTATTAGAGGAAGTTGAGTAGAAGAGTGTTCCCTTCTCAGAAAGGAAGGGAAGGAATATGTGCTTTCCTTGACCATCTAGACTGGCCTGATCAGGATTCTTCAGAGTAAACACTTCATAGAACCCTAATCCTTTTTTTCCTTTTTTTAGAGTATCGCCTCAATTTGTAAATATGTATTAGTATATTTACTTGATCAATACCTGTCTACCCTACGATTGTGAGCTCCTTTGAGATCAGGGTACATTTGAGCTCTCTCTCGTATCCTGGCATAGTTTCTGGCTTATATGCTGTGTACTTTATGAACTAAAAAGAAACATTGATATGATAGTATATTTATAATTATGTCAGCATCTGCAGAGCTACTTCATGAACACAGGTTTTGCTAGGTTGACTCAGTACGCTGGATGAATAAATCTGAGTTTATCTCTTTCCCCCTTGTATTAGAGCTATGAGGACATGTGCTGAGGGCAGACACTAATTCTCTCTCTTTCTCCTCCTCTCCTTCCTAGTACCTCCCCCCAGTGGACAGCAGGTCCAGTGCAGGGTTTGTGGGTTTGAGGAATGGTGGCGCCACATGTTACATGAACGCCGTCTTCCAGCAGCTGTACATGCAGCCTGGTCTCCCTGAGGTGATTTCCTTCCTCTTGCCTGTTTGGTGTGATAAGTAATGTGTACATTGCCTGAAAATTGCTCCACATTCATATAGTGCAATTTGGGGGTTACTAAAATTAGAATACTTAAGTGTTCTTCAGTGGCTCCTAAAATAATGCTAGAGTAGTCGCACATTTTTATATATCTGCTGCAGTAATATGTTGCCTGTTTGACAGATGGGTTTGACCTAATTCACATGTGATATTTGAACTCTTAAGTTATTTAAGTTGCTAACATTTTTAGTATTTTAGAAATATTTTTACAGTCACATTCAAACACGTAGCATTCTAAAAGAATAATGTATGGACTCCCACGTACATAAGTCAAGGTTATCTGTAAAACAGTTAAATATTTCTAACTTTATACTTCGTGTCTTTTCAGGCGTTACTTTCAGTGGATGACGACACTGACAATCCAGATGATAGTGTATTCTACCAAGTGCAGTCTCTGTTTGGGCATTTGATGGAAAGCAAGCTGCAGTATTATGTACCTGAGAACTTTTGGAAGGTATTTCACTAGTAACTCTAGATTTAAAGATGTTGAATATTTGGAGTTTGGCTACATTCTTTCTCTAGTGATAGTTGTCTCTTGTCTTTATTAATTCTAGATTAATCCCATTGCCAGAACCTACAGAAGAGTTGTCTATACCATTCTTTAAATTGGTCCTTCATTTCAAGTTATTAGAATAGTCATTTGTAATTTCTATGTATTTGCTCATCTTAATTACTTTGGATATTTCTCATGATTCTTATCTTAGCTCTTTCAAGTATTTGTTCAACTCATTCCTCAGAACCTATGCCAATTTCACTAATGCCTCTAAATAAAGAACATTCTTTTATAACATTGCTTTTCTGTGTTTCACGGGAGGAGTAGCTTGTACTTTCCCCCATAGGTGGGTTAGTTTGTAAGAGAGAAGCTCTCTGTTCATGGCCTTGGCTCTCATCCTGTGGCTTCATAGACCTGTTAGGATGGTAAAGGGACCAGAGAAAAGCATGAGTAGCTGAACACAAGCTCATCTCACTTCAGTAAAAACGTTTGCATCCTAATAGTGAACTTAGTTCTTAGAAGCATTAAGTGCTCTTTTACATCCTTTTTCTATCATACTCAGAAGTTGCTACTTTTCCTTTAATGACATTTAATTCTTGTTACGTAGATTTTCAAAATGTGGAACAAAGAACTTTATGTGAGAGAACAACAGGATGCGTATGAGTTCTTCACTAGCCTCATTGATCAGATGGATGAATATCTCAAGGTAGACAAAGTTTTATTTTCCCTCTAACCCCTCAAACTAGTATAAGAGCAGTGGTTTAGGATTTGGGACTGCTGTGAAACTGACAAGTCAGAAATTGATCATCTTGCATACAACAACTATATATCATTTCTTCTGGGTTTGAACATCAAAACATATACAGATCACTAAAATTATACATTTCTTCTTACTTCATTTAACACTTGATAAAGTATGTGATTCTCAGTCTACACTCCATAATAATAATCATTTGTATCTGCCTACTCTTACCTGCATGCATTAAAGTAACCTGGCCTCAGAGAAGTGCTGTAAGCACTGGTGGCCCCATGCAGAGCTGTCTTGCTTTGGCAAAGGGAACAAAAGGGCTAGATTAAAAGTTGTTTGTGGTGATGTTTAAACCCAGAGTTTTAAACATGTGACAGACTTCCTAAATGGTACTGCCTTCTAAGTTACAGACCTCCCATTACTGCCAACATGTGCCTCTCTTCTCAGTGGTAGGCACGTTTTCTAAATTTATAGCATTGTCTGCAAGGGAAAAGAAAAGGTTGTGGAGAGTCGGTACTGCCTTGTGAGTGAGGCATGGGAAGAAGGAATTGGTCTTGGAGAGTGCTGTCCTGTCAGCAACTCTGACTGACCTCTATCCTCCGCCTTTTCTGATCACTCGTAACAGTGGGTCTAATGGGTTATAATCCTTTCATTAGTTCCCAGATTAAACTGCCAAGATGACTTCTTTTATTTTGGTGGTTGCATTGACATCTGTGTTTTAGCTTAGTTTGTTCTAAATAAAATTCTGTGTAAACAACCTATAAATTCTAGGTATATCAACTGAAAATTTATGAACTTTTTATTCCAACAGAAAATGGGAAGAGACCAAATTTTTAAGAATACTTTTCAAGGCATCTATTCTGATCAGAAAATCTGTAAAGACTGTCCTCACAGGTTAGTGAAGATTTCATTAACATTAAAAAATGATTATTATAGCCCTATCCGGTTTGGCTCAGTGGATCGAGCGTTGGTCTGCGGACTGAAAGATCCCAGGTTCAATTCTGGTCAAGGGCGTGTACTTGGTTGCGGGCACATCCCCAGTAGGGGGTATGCAGAAGGCAGCTGATCAATGTTTCTCTCTCATCGATGTTTCTAACTCTCTATCCCTCTCCCTTCCTCTCTAAAAAAATCAATAAAAAATATATTTTAAAAAATGATTATTATAATTAAGTGATTCTTCTAGTAGGTTATGAACTTTGCATTTGTTGAGAGACTTGCAGATATCTCTCTCAAGTGTTTATTGAATTAAATTTCTTTGCTTTCAATTTCTTTGTTGAAATTCATAATTTTAAGCAATTCTGAATTGTCAGATTGATTATTTTAATTTGGTAGTGTACTTTTTAAAGGATGAGGAAAGTTATGGTTAATTTCACTGATTGTGAATAGTTTTGTGTTTAATCTCAGGTATTATGATACTTTAAAGTTTTTCAAATTTCGTTGTTGATCATGGTTTTTCTGTTATTTCCTAATCAGATATGAGCGAGAGGAAGCTTTCATGGCTCTCAATCTAGGAGTTACTTCCTGTCAGAGTTTGGAAATTTCTTTGGACCAGTTTGTTAGAGGAGAAGTTCTAGAGGGAAGTAATGCCTATTACTGTGAAAAGTGTAAAGAAAAGGTATTTCACGTGCCCTTTTTATAAAACTCACTTAATCTTTTATTCCATGTACTTTATGTAAGATCACTTTTAAGCTCTGTTACTTCCGTTAGATTGTGTCATCCCTTGTGTTTACACAGGTGGTAAGGAGAAACCTATGACCTTTGTATTATTTACTTGGCTGTTTTATTTTCTCCAAGGAGCTAATTGGGTTTTGCTTTTCTTTAGAGAATAACAGTCAAAAGGACCTGTATTAAGTCTTTACCTAGTGTCTTGGTCATTCACCTAATGAGATTCGGATTTGACTGGGAAAGTGGACGCTCCATTAAATATGATGAACAGATAAAGGTAACTTTTTTTCCCCTGAAAGTTTTTATAACCGTTACTGCCTCGTTCACCTTTTATCATTTTCTTTTAATATTTTCAAATTTCATGTAAAGTGTGAAAGGCTATAGCCTCAGCACTCTGAGGAGTACGTAGCCCTTGTCCGAGCAGCTGCTGCCAGTGGAACTGTGTGTGACCGTGAACAGTGACCCTCATGTGCAGAGGCACCTGGTGTCAGCTGTGACGTCAGATGCTTTCCTTAACGCTCAAGGAGAGGTCACTTGTACGCTCCCAGATTGTGAGCCATTGGGAGGTTTTGCACTTAAATTGGAGAGGTAGTCCTAGCTTACAGTAGGAAACACTCATCCCCTTCTTTGTATCTGACTTAATTGTACGTTATGAATGGAGAACATGAATGTGCTCCTTTGCTTTTTTTTAATAGTTTCCCTGGATGTTAAACATGGAGCCGTACACAGTTTCAGGAATGGCTCGCCAAGATTCATCTTCTGAAGTTGGTGAAAATGGACGAAATATGGATCAGGGAGGTGGAGGGTCTCCACGAAAGAAAGTTGCCCTCACAGAAAACTATGAACTTGTCGGTGTCATCGTACACAGTGGGCAGGCACATGCCGGCCACTACTATTCCTTCATTAAGGATAGGCGGTAAGGGGTTCTCCCAAGAGTCCCTCTCTGTTCTTCCAGTATCTCTCCTCCACCCCCCTGCCCTCCTATATATCTGTCCTCTACCCCCCTTCCCTCCTGTATATCTGTCCTCCACTCCCCTGCCCTCCTGTATATCTGCCCTCCACTCCCCTGCCTTCCTGTATATCTCTCCTCCACTTCCCTGCTGTCCTGTATATCTCTCCTCCACTCCCCTGCCTTCCTGTATATTTCTCCTCCACTCCCCTGCCATCCTGTATGTCTGTCCTCCACTCCCTTACCCTCCTGTATATCTCTCCTCCACTCCCCTGCCTTCCTATATATCTCTCCTCCACTTCCCTGCCCTACTGTATATCTCTCCCCCCACTTCCCTGCCCTCTGTATATCTATCCTCCACTCCCCTGCCCTCCTGTATATCTGTCCTCTGCTCCCCCTGCCCTACTTTATCACCCACACTTACCATTATTATACAAAGAAGCTTTGCATTGTTCTTTGGTCTTATTTAATATTGCATTTTTTAAATTGTAACCGTCTTTATGCTTCAATTTGCAAAGTTGTTTTAGAAATTAGAATAACTGTTGCTATATTTTTCTTAGGTATTTTCAAATGGTAATCACCTGCTATGTTTATAGACAATACAAAGAAATAAATACTGGAGATGGGATATTTGTTTTTTATTATAATGTTTGTTTTTTCTGTGGGCTCTAGGGGATGTGGAAAAGGAAAGTGGTATAAATTTAATGACACCATTATAGAAGAATTTGACCTAAATGATGAGACTCTGGAATATGAATGCTTTGGAGGAGAATATAGACCAAAAGTTTATGATCAAAGTAAGTATTTACAAATGGATATTTTCCATAAATTTCTCTCTCTTTTTTTTGAGTTAGGATTTTCTATCAAGTTGGAAGCAGTTTTATTTACATAAAAATAGAAGAGATTTCACTCTTTTTACACACCACTACTCTGTATAGGTCCATGAGCTCTTTGATAGCCAGAGTAAAAATGTTCAAGCTGCTTACAAAAAAAATTTTTTTTAATAATTTCTTAAAACAGCCTTGGAGAAATATGGGGGGGAGGTGTAAGTGAAATGAATATCAAAGAGAATTCCAACCTTAAAAATAGTTTCAAAAGAAGTAGTTATCCACTAAAATTTTCAGGTTTCTGCCCTAGCCAGTTTGGCTCGGGATAGAGGGTCGGCCTGCAAACTGAATGGTCTTGGGTTTGATTCCAGTCAAAGGCACATGCCCAGTTGTGGGCTCAATCCCCAGTAGGGGACGTGTAAGAGGCAGCCAATCAATGGTTATCATTGATGTTTCTGTCTCTCCCTCTCCTTCCTCTGAAATCAATAAAAATATATTTTAAAACAAATAAATAATTTTCAGGTTTCCTTTTCACTTCTGTAGAGGTGTGATTAATTAAAGACGACACTTCTAGCACCTGTGCTTTTAAAGCCACACTTAATATGCGAAGGAGTCTTTCCACAACCCCACCCTTAGAAAATGTATGAGCCAGCCCTGGCTGGTTTGGCTCAGTGGATAGAGCATCGGCCTATGGACTATAGGGTGCCAGGTTCGATTCCAGTCAAAGGGCATGTGCATTGGTTGCAGGCACATCCACAGTGGGAGGTGTGCAGGAGGCAGCTGATCGATGTTTCCCTCTCAACGATGTTTCTAACTGTCCCTCTCCCTTCCTCTCTGTGAAAAATTAATTAAATATATATTTTTGTAAAATGTATGAGCCAAAATATGTCAGAAAATTCAGTCAGAATTTGCTATTTAAAGAAAAAACATTTTGCAGAGACCTTAACATTTCTGAAATCTGGTTTTGAAATATTCTGGGAGCATTTTAAAATTTCTACTTATATTAGATTCACTGTATTAGATTTTGATACCATACCATGGTGGTTGTGCATCTAATGTTGGTAGCCTTTAATTAGGTAGCCTTTGGTACCAAAATTTACATAGATTTGACTGTTCTATACATAAATGATTAAGTGGGGCCAATTATAATCCCATCCTATGCCACAGAATTTATTTTTTAAACTAGAGGCCTGGTGTACGAAATTCGTGTACAAGGTGGAGGAGTCCCTCAGCCCGGCCCGCACCCTTTGGGGGGTGTCAGCAGTCGGACATCCCTTTTGCAATCCGGGACCACTGGCTCCTAACCACTCGCCTGATCACCCCTAACTGCCTCTGCTTGCTGGTCTGATCACCCCCTTACTGACCCCCTGCCAGCTTGGTCACCCACTAACTGGTCCCCTGCCGGCCTGGTCTCCCCCTAACTGTCCAGAAGGACATCGGACTAATTAACATATTACCTTTTCATTAGTATAGACTAATGGCCAGGTACATGAAATTCATGCACATTGAAAGGGAGTTAATTAGAGGAAATATTTTAATATTGCTATTTGCCCTTTTTTTATAATAGAAATGTCAGAGATGAAAGAAAATTAGTACAATGTATATGAAAATCTTCCTCCTGTCAGAGTCTGGGGCATGCCACGGGACCCAGAGTCAAGTTCCCGCCTACCCGTGCACACCTTGAAATCATGCAAGACCCAGACCGGCCGGCCCCACCCCCATTGGGTGAGATCCAGACCCTGCCAGCCCCACCCCCATTAAGCCCTGCCAGGCAGGGGGCGCAGCCTCAGGTCCCCTGGCCCAACGCCAGGCCAAGGGTGCAACCTAAGATCCCCCATCAAGCCCTGCCGGGCAGGGGGCGCAGCCTGAGGTCCCCGCCCCAGTCCAGCACCACGCAGCCTCAGGTCCCTGCTGATTGCTCATTACAGGAACCCCGCCTCCACTGTGGGCACAACCATTTTGTGTTACAGGAACCCCGCCTCTGCTGTGGGCGCAGCCATCTTGTGATGTGTGAGGGTTAATTTGCATGTTACCTCTTTCTTTAGGATGTTACTTGCTTTTTTATTAAATTGAGACTTGCCTGGAATATTTACCTTCTTTCCCTTACTGTGTTACCATACAACTCTTTTACTCCCTGCCCCTCTATATCACCCTGCCCCTCTATATCACCCTCCAAGTAATTCTAAGCAGTACTCTAAAAAGGTGCACATTTTACCTACACTTTGCTTTTAACAAATTCAGTAAGTAGTTACTTGCTGGATTTATGGGTCCTTTGTTTTAGATTGTTAAGACAAGAAAACTTTTATTTACTTGCTTCTTTCTTAATGTCTTGTTATAAAGCAAATCCATATACTGATGTTCGCCGAAGATACTGGAATGCCTATATGCTCTTCTACCAACGGGTATCTGATCAGAACTCCCCAGTCTTACCAAAGAAAAGTCGCGTCAGCGTTGTGCGGCAGGAAGCTGAGGATCTCTCTCTGTGAGTTTATTTTCTGTGTAATTGTGTGAATTCAGTAGGGGATATTGTGATCTTTATACTGTTTGGTATTTAAGTGTAAATTGCTAAGCTAGAGAGAAATTCTAAAAAAATAAACTGCTCTATCCCTTTTCTTTCTTCTTATTGCTACTGGTCATTGTTCCCTTGGCAAAAAGTTATTTTGTATTTAGAAAGATGTGTATAAATTATTTTATTAGAAGTGATATTTTTTTCATCCCAGCATGTTATTGAATAAACTTTATGTTCAAAGCATAGTAAACACTTCAGTCAGAAAGTTTTTTTATCGTATTCTCTGTGAATTTGAGTTTAAATTATTGAATTAGGGGAGTATACAATTTATTTTTAAATCCAGTACCCAGATTTTGTAGGTTTGTTAGGTTTTAGGAACTACTAAAACAATCGCCACTTTAGTCAGTTTTCTGATTCTGTCTCTTAGATCAGCACCTTCTTCACCAGAAATTTCACCTCAGTCATCCCCTAGGCCCCATAGGCCTAACAATGACCGGCTCTCTATTCTAACCAAACTGGTTAAAAAAGGAGAGAAGAAAGGACTGTTTGTGGAGAAAATGCCTGTTCGAATATATCAGGTAAGAACTATATAATTCTTAGAGAGAAAATTCAGATAGTGTTAAAATCCGTCTCGTAGGGCCAGAAGAACTCCAGCTGGTCATCTTGTGGACTTAGCTGTATCTCTAGTGCAACATCTTCTTACCCTCGTGTGTCACAAATCTTTCATATTAGGTCATAAAGGTGGCTACCAACTCAAGATTGACCCCACCATCACCACTTTCCATGTGGCTATAGGATGCCAAAGATAAATAAATAGAAGGCATGGGCAGTAAAAAACAAACAAACAAAAACAACAACAAAAACCACATAGCTAAAATTAACTTGTAGCTGGAGAGAAAATAAGTTAAAGTTTATAACTTTTGGGGGGTAACATTAATATGTCAGTGATGACCATTAATTGTTGAATACCTACTCTATGCTACACACTTTAAAACAAATCCATAATTCTTAAAACACTCTTATGGGATGGAAGGTTTTCTTCCCATTTCTCAGATGGAAAAAATTAGGCTCAGAAAAGGCAAAATGATCTGCTAGTGTCTCAGAGATAGGATTAAAATTCAGAACTGTCTAACTACCAGTTCAGACTTTCTAAACTAAGTAAACAGGAGCTGAGTAGCCACAGCAGAGAATTTAAGAAGAATATGGAGTCTACTTGGGAAAGGCTCTGTTTGTTCCTTCCTGCCCAGAATAATAGGTTAGACTTCACTTGTCCTTCACATGGTGGTTTTCCTAAATTTTCCAAAAGGATTTCGTTTAATGACTAGTAATTAATCTTTTTACAACTTCTTGTATGAAGATTTTCCTCTCTTTAAAAAAATTCAGAGCTTGAGAGTAGAGTTACAAATCCTTCTTACCTAACATATCACTAAAAATGTCTTTTACATGTTGAATATTTTACCATTTCTTTAAAACAATTGCTAATTTTCTTTTGTAGATGGTGAGAGATGAAAACCTCAAGTTTATGAAGAATAGAGATGTGTACAGTAGTGATTATTTCAGTTTTGTGTTGTCTTTAGCATCATTGAATGCTGTAAGTACTAGCTGGATTGTTACTAAAGTAAGAAAGAATTATAATTAAACAACTTTCAGCTAAAATGTTCAGTGGCTCATGTTCACTCTCAGTTGTTAACCTTTAGATGAAATGCAAAATATTCTCACAAATGTGTAACTTATTGAGTTATATTAAAATATAGGCAGTATTTGTAATATGTCATGCAAGTTGTAGATGGGTGTGGGTTTCCACATACTGGCTTTTAAAGTGCTATTTAAATTTTATGATGACTCTAAGAGTAGCTATAGGTAATATCATTGGATATTGGGCTTTGTGGAGATTAATTATTCCTAATTTGTAATTAGACATTACTAGCACTTCCAAGTACTTCTCTTTCTTGAGTACCATGATTATAATTTGCTAATAAGAGGAAAACTTTATCAGTCTTTTGATAGATTACTTAACATCTTGTGGTCCAAAGACTCTATTTTGTCCGACTGGTATGGCTCAGTGGTTGAGTGTCAGCCTATGAACTAGGAGGTCATGGTTTGATTCCTGGTCAAGGCACATGCCTTATTTGTAGGCGCAATCCCCAGTAAGGGGCATGTGTGGGCGCACCTGATCCATGATTCTCTCTCATCCTTGATATTTCTCTCTCCCACTCTCTTCCTCTTGAAATCAACAAAACAAATTTTTTTTAAAATAAATAAAGACTTTTGAGAGGACTTAAAAAAATAAAGTTGTCTTTCTTAACCTTTCTTAAAGTTTAACTGGAACATTTTCTATAATGGCTGGCTAGAATTTTCTTACTAGTACTGAATTTTAGCATGTGTCATTTAGTTCATACAATGTGTAATAATCTATAAAACTTCTAAGAAAAAGTATCCTCTCTGTTTTTCTCCCCCACTCAGACTAAATTAAAGCATCCATGCTATCCTTGCATGGCAAAGGTAAGCCTACAGCTTGCCATTCAATTCCTTTTTCAAACTTATCTACGGACAAAGAAAAAACTCAGGTAAGAAGTGAAATGTTTTGATTGTCATGGCAAAAAGCACTAATTAAATCAATTAAAGCTAAATTTCTGAATTCAGCTTTTTAAAACATTGTTTTAAATAGTTGGAAACTACCAACTGTACTCAGATGATTAATGGCTTCTATCTATAAGGAATTTCTAATCTAGTTAGAAAAAAATAGATTCAACAGAGCAGTAACTGTGATACAAGGCATAAATGCTGTACAACTTTGGAAACTGGGCAGAATCATACCCAGATGTGGGATGGGGTTGGTATTAAAGACAGTTGTGTTCTCAGATGATTTTGAAAGGCAAAAGTATGGAGATAGTTATTATTCTTGGTGGAAGGGAAAAACCTGAGTAATAGATAAGACTTGCTTAAAGAACTATGAATGACGTGTTTTACTCGTATATTTAAGGAACTTATTGAGGTGAGACAAATGTTGGGTTTGGATGAGCTCACTGAGAGCCAGAGAAGGGAGTGGACTTTGTTCAGTGGGCGATCGAGGAGGGTTCCTGAACGGGGTCAGTGTGTTCAGAGGCATGCCATAGAAACTCAACTCTGATTGCATGTTAGTCTCATTGGTTTTTATCTTTAGCACCTGGTAAGGTGCCTGACACCTTACAGGCTCTGGGTTAATGGTGGTTGAGAAACTGAAGGATGGAGAGTAGTTGGGTTAGTTTGTAGGATGTCCCTGGAGCAAGAAGGGGAGGCTCAGGGTGGAGAGGCCAGTTAACAGAAGACCATGGACATTCTCAAGCTCCTCTCTAGCACAAGTATGCAGAGGTTTTTAGAAAGATTTTGCAATCAAGAAACTCTTGAGATGATAACAGATATAATGACATTCATTTTTATGTGTAATAATAAAAAATATATTAAATACCAGGCTTTATTATTTGATTGAAAAAGAAGAAATGTTTCTTGTCATGTCTGGCATAGGATTGACTAAGGAAATTGTTTGGTTACTTAACATATAAAAGTATAGAATGTAGGCATTTTGTGAATGTCGATTAAGCAAAACAAAATGTTCAGGCTTTTTTTTTGGCAATTGAAGTTTTTTTTCTTTTATGGGGTAGGGGGTGGGGGCAGGATAAGTCACACAAATACCCAAGACTGCAAAGCACTGGCTTCTCGGGTGATGGAGCCATGTTAGTTACAGTCACTGAGTATTTAACTCCTACTCACTTTCCAAAAAAGTTCTAAAGAATGTTACAATGGAGTGATACTCCATGGAGTTATTGGCGGGGATTGTACTCCTAATATTCTTTGTTTTTTTTAAAGGGTTGATACTGAAGAATGGATTGCCACTATTGAAGCATTACTTTCAAAAAGTTTTGATGCTTGTCAGTGGCTAGTTGAATATTTTATTGGTTCTGAAGGACGAGAATTGATAAAGTAAGTGTCAAGATTTTTAATTAAAAGAAATTTGTGTTTCTTCCAGTGATTGGGAGCTAACATTTCTTGTAACTCTTTTTATTTCAACTTGAAATTATATTTCTGATTGGAATTGATTTTAAACTTTCTTCACCAATGAAGCAGTGAGGAAATTATTTGGGTCACTTCAAAATCATTCTTTCCAAACCATCTCTGTTAGACTAGACTCAGGGTATTCAAGGAGAATGCAAGGAGAGCATGTGTGCAGATGGCCAAGTGCTCACAGGTAGCCACATCCTAAAACCCAAAATACAAGGCCCTTTCTTCAGGGACCCACAGTCTGGTGCACAGGAGGTTCCAGGGGTGCTATCTTGGCTCCAAGCTTTAACTAGTATGTCATTCTGAGAAACTGAAGGGGTTCCAGGAGAGCTGCTCCTGAATGAACAGAATTCGTAAAATTTTAGATTATTTGCTCAATGTTCAATTTATATTTATACAGATACTCATTTTGGGGGAAGAGAGGAAGAGGAAGGAAGGGCTTCACTGTTCCATGTTCAGGGGTCTTGCTTTCCTGTTTGGCCTTCCTCCTCCACGGTGGCCACAAGCTATACCAAAGCTCTCAGAAGACCTAACAAACGTCTTAGAGTAATTTTGTTTGTTGGATTGCAAGTGGGACTCATGTTGGGAAGGTTGACTTAGAGAGTTCTGTTTTGCTTTCTTACACCACACTTCTATATTTTAGGATATTCTTGCTGGAGTGCAATGTGAGAGAAGTGCGAGTCGCTGTGGCCACCATTCTGGAGAAAACCCTGGACAGTGCCTTGTTTTATCAGGACAAGGTCAGCCTCATGTTTAAATTTCTATTTATACGTTCTGTTTTTACCAAAAGTATAAAATGGCCACAATAAGAAAGAGAACCTAGGATTTCAAGCTGGTAATTTCTCCACATAAAATGTACCTTCTGTGAACTGACTTTGTGATGAACTGACTTTGTGATGAATGCCAAGTAGAAGGCATTCTGACTTTTCCTCCTCATACCCCAAAAACCAAGGTAGGCCAAGAACTGAGGTCTGCTTTGGTCTGCTTCAGAATTTTCTCTCTAGAACACTCTCTTTTCAAAGTCTTCTCTCAATAGTTTGTATTTGATCTCTGCACTGAGGCTAACCTGAGTCTAGAGGCTCTCGTCTAGATCCTTAGACATTTTGAGCCACCCCTGGCTTTGTCTCTTTCTTCATGAGCTATTTTTATGACCTAAACCTGCAATTGGCAACCAAACCAAATACTGCCATTCGTTCAGGGTTATTGGCCAAAATAGTTCCTTCATTGGTTTTCATTATTCCCTCATCTGTTTTGTTCCTCTGGATTTCTTCTTTTTCTAACCCGATTTTCTGTAACATATTTTCTCGTTCAAAATTCTACACATGCCAAAACAAGCCAGGGTATTTATTACCATCCTCAATCCCCAAAGATTTTAAGACCTAGGGAAATAAATGACATATGTTGTAAGTCTGATTATTCAATCTGTTAAGTGCTAGCAAATACAGCAGCTACTTCCCAAGTTTGCTGTTTCAAACAGCTGACACTACATGGAAAACTTTGAAAAATGTTATTTCCAAAACTAATTGGCTCCTTAAACATTGGCTGGAGGCAGTGTGTCTCAATGAACTAAATGCAGATTCTAAAAATTGCTGCTTCAAATACAGTTGTTAACTTTGTGATGCAACCTTGAGCGTGTTCTTGTAAGGGAGATGTTTAATCCAGATACAGTGCCTGGCACCCAAGCACTTGGTTCCTTCAACATTGCCTGACCCAGGGAGCTCTGCTCAGTCCAGAATGAACAAAGAGGTTGAATATGCCCCTTAGGAAGGGCCCGGAAGACTGTCTCTCAATTCAGGATTTATAAGGAAGTTGATGTTTACTCTAAGGCATTGGTTTTCAGTCAGCTTAAACAGCAGAACCATTTTCCAAACAAAACCTTACCTGAGTGCAGAACATATAAACTAGGTCATTGGGAGTTGCTTAGGACAGTTTGGAGACCATTGCTCTGAAATACTCTGTGGAAGTTGTGTAAGACATTTAGCATGAGGACCTTCTCATTCTCCTTCCTCCCATGCACCAACCTAGACAAAAGATAACGATAGAGTTAGTGCAGTCTCCCTACAGATGGGGTCAGGCCACACCATCACCCCAGTGACCTCTGAAGGCAGGACTGCAGGTGGTAGGAAGGGAAGGAGTGGTGGTGCAGGGCATAAACATGGAAGCATTTGCCTCAGTAAATTCTATTGAATATCCAGATCCAGCTGATGCATTTTATGTCAGTTTTTCCCTCATAATGGAAATGGTGCCTCTTGCCATCCACTCTATATTGGAAAGTACTTTGAAAGTTAAGTGCTATGTAAATGCTAGATTTTATTGTACTTATACTGATGTGACAGGATGGTTGGGAGTATTTTAATAGTCTCTCGACACCATCTTCAGAGGAAATAAATCAACAGGAATAGTAAGAGTAAGCTTGGTCTTCATTCTCAGATCACAGATGAATTTCTAGGAACTTGTCCAAAAGCAGTTGGGTGGGAGGGAACGAAGAAGCAATGTGATAACCAAAATGGTTTCTAAATAAATAAAATGTTTTTCAAAGCTTTCCATGAGGCGTCAGCGGGCTTTCAAGTAAGTTCCCAGTTGAGTGGATATTGCCGTTGTCATTCTGTCAGGCTGTGCTCTCCATCTGCTCCATTGGCTTGGTTTCTAGCCCCTATGCCTGTGTCTGTGTTTTTATTCTTTGCATCTGTGATTATGTAAAGAAGTAGCATAGTGGAGGGAGGGACTCAGAAATAGGTTTCCTCTAAGCACCCCCACCCTTTTTCTAAGAGACAGAGAAATTGGATCTACAGAAAATGTGCCCACTAGGCAGTAGAATCATGCCCTTGACTCTGAATTCTAGGAGGCAAAACTAGGCGTTCCTTTGAAGTATTTCTATAGTACCGATCTTCCCCTAGCAGGTAAAATTGAATCTTTCTGTTTTTGCTCTCCAAAGCATAAATCCATCTGAATCTGAGACTGGATTGTATCAACCAGATTTTCCTTTTGTTCTTCTGGTGACTTACTTCAAATTAATCCTGTTGCAAATGTCTGTCTTACATGGTTTTTCTTTATGTAATCTCATCTTTCCTCTGACCAGTTAAAAAGCCTTCACCAGTTACTGGAGGTACTACTTGCTCTGTTGGATAAAGATGTCCCAGAAAATTGTAAAAACTGTGCTCAGTACTTTTTCCTGTTCAACACTTTTGTACAAAAGGTAAATGATTTTTTTCTAATATACTTTCATAACACAGAAAATTTATAATTTAAAGGAATTTTATACATGGAAAAATATAGACTGGTCAATATTGAATTTATATGATACAGTCTTATGGCTGTTTATTCTTTAAAATCGTAATTCAGGAATTATATTACTTGCAGGAAGTTGGATACAAGTAGGTGTACACTCATTGACAGCAAACGTCTGCATTAAAACTAGTATCTAATTATGTGTTCTGTAACCTTTGTGAAGCAATGTGAGGCTATTGGAACTCAAAAGAGTTTTTTTAATTAGGTTTTTAACAAATATTTTTATATGTAAACTAGAGGCCTGATGCACGAAATTGGTGCAAGAGTAGGCCTTCCTTCCCCCACTGCCAGCACCGGCTTCCCTCTGACACCTAGGACCCAGGCTTCCCTCCTGCCACAGGCAGGCACCCGGACCCGGCTTCCCTCACAGCCCCAGTTTCGTCCAGAAGGACGTCTGGTCTAATTAGCATATTATGCTTTTATTATTATAGATTATTATAGATTATAGCATTTTAAGACTTCTTAAAACTTCTCATTTAACTGTTTTTAAAACTGATTTTTGTCTGGATAGGAATATAATTTGTCGTTCTCAATATCTTGTGACAGCAAGGTATTAGGGCTGGAGACCTCCTCCTGCGGCATTCAGCTCTGCGACACATGATCAGCTTTCTCCTGGGGGCCAGTCGCCAGAACAATCAGGTAATGCTTTTTGCCAGCCCCCTCGGTAGCCATGGTTTTGTAGTCACTTTACTTCTCTGTGTAGGTGATAAATATTTTTAATCTCATAAGAGTCCAGGTACTAATACTATATCGACTTTAAAATTCTTTATAGTTCAATTATTTTTACAGCTTTTCTCAGAATTCCCTAATAATAACGACCCATGGAAAAGACTAACTAGAGTATCAATTAAAATATGAAGTATTATAGCAGCAAAGATGGGTCCTGATGGGGGGATTCAAAACCCTGCGAGTCTAGTGCTGCCAGCAAGGCTGTTCGGGTGGCAGTCACTTCTGGAATGCTGATAACAAGGCCAGAGTTCAAATGTGAAATTGTACTGTTATACACTGTTATATCCTGCTGCAGGTTTACTACTGCTCGTATTCAGAAAATGGAGGGAGCTTGTTTTGTAATAATCGAGTTAGGTATACGTGAAAAATGGCTCTCCTGTTGAAGTTTCTATATTGGTGTGTTTCTCCCATTCATTATATTTTTTTTGTTTGATAGATTTAAAATGAAGGTGCAGTAATGATGAATGCTATTTATATAGAGCTCCTGTTATATACTAGACACAACTGGTCCTTTGATATGCCATATCACTGATACAGGTCAATAAACTAGGCAGTTTCATCCTCATTCTCAGGCGAGAATTACAGCACAGACAAGTTCAGTGACTTGTTCAAGGTCACCGAGCTAAAGTGTTGTGGAGTGGGATTCAGACCCAGTTCCGGTGTCCCCTGAATGGAACGGATCGCATAGGAGTTTTCGTTCCTTTATAAGGGGGGACAGACATGCTGCTCCGGCCTCCTCAGGTTCCAGTCTCCACCGTGCTTCTCTCACTCGGCAGTATTAGCAAGCAAGCTCTGGCCCCATAGCCTGCTCAGTGTAAGGATATCGTTGAAATTTACAATCTCCATTTTTCACTCAGGCTCTTCTGCTTCAGGGACTCCTGTTGTTTTGCATTTATGGAGCCCATAGCATTGAAAACATTTTCACTTTTAAGGTTTCATTTGGTTTTCACAGCCATGAGTGGCCAGAGCAGGTAGGTTATCTCCACCATTACACCAAGAGGTTGGGCAGTGTTACCATAACGCGCCCTCACCCACACAGCATAGTAAATGCGGGGGGTGGGGAGAGGATGGGGGGAGCAAGAGGGCTTGGCCCCCAGGTCACCAGCCTCATGGGTTTTTCCCATTACACTGAGGTACAGGGAAATTGCCTGGCACATAGTGAGCACTCAATACCTAACTTCGAATACACGAATGGGTTCATTTCAGAATGTGAGTTAATGTGTCTGAGGGGAAAACACTGTTAACTAGCTCAAAACCTATGGCTTTTTGTACTTTGATCTCTTTTGCTATCAAATATTGAGAAATAATTGTGGCCCAAATTATCATGAACCAGCAGGTCTTTTCCATCCCTGGCCATGTTATTTCTAATCAAAACACAAACGTCCACTTCATGTTCTCTGATCACAGATACGGCGATGGAGTTCCGCACAAGCACGAGAATTTGGGAATCTTCACAACACAGTGGCATTACTTGTTTTGTATTCAGATGTCTCTTCCCAGAGGAATGTTGGTGAGCTTAACATATCTTTAGTACATCGGAAAAATGAAATGATACTGAATTTGTCAGTAGTGCATCGAGGGTAATGTTAGCAATTAAATGGGTATTACTTGTTCCTCATTTGGCTATTTGATATTGTTTTAATTCCTGTTAAACTTCACTTTATTTTACTAGTTTGTCACAAGGGAAAGTAAATCATTTATTTGGGGACAGGGGTATGTAAGTTTTAAAAAGCCTTTAGAATCAAAGACCAATTCGGAGTTCATTCATTACCATAATTGGCACAACTGATGTAGTGATAAAATTGCCTTTGTGTGGGTTAGTTTCCTAGCTGTGTGAACTTGCCCAGGCCATCTGGCCCTCTGATTCTCAGTACAAAATGGAAATAATAAAAATAAACCCCACAAGTATATTGAGGATTAATGAGATAAGTATTAAAGTACTTTGTAAAAACAAAGGGATTTATTTCAGCTGTACATTAAGTCATTGAAATGCATTTGAATATATGATGTAGCTGGTAACATTTACTACTTGGTCACCTCTACCCAATAGTTCAGTCCTCATTTAATAGAGCAGAGACGCAAATTGTCCTATATAGTTATCCAAAGCCACTGAAAAATATTCAGTGTTTTCTGTGGGCTGTGCCTGTCCATAGTCCTTTTAGTTCATCAGTTGTGTTTATAATCCCCTCAGCAAACCTGTGAGAGGGATATTACCCCTTCTGTAAATGAGGAACTAAGATACAGAGCGTGTAGTAACTGCACAAGTCCACAGCCAGTAAGTGGCGTAGCAGCCAGTGTGTGAATGCAAGCCTCTGACCCAGAGGCCGTGGTTGGGTTTCAGTGTTGTATGACCAGTAAGATCTGAACACCAGAAACGAGATAAAAATCACAGCGCATCACTCTGATCCAGCAATTTTTATTGACCCTCTAATGCAGCGGTTCTCAACCTGTGGGTCGCGACCCCTTTGGGGCTCGAACGACCCTTTCACAGGGGTCGCCTAAGACCATTGGAAAACACATATATAATTACATATTGTTTTTGTGATTAATCACTATGCTTTAATTATGTTCAATTTGTAACAGTGAAATTGGGGGTCACCACAACATGAGGAACTGTATTAAAGGGTCGCGGCATTAGGAAGGTTGAGAACCACTGCTCTAAAGGGACTTGGAGAGCACTTGGATGGTTTGAGGTAGAGTTTGCTTCCTAAATCTGACTCACTCATCTAAAAAGACAAAGCTGCCTAAACTTGAGTTGAGATAGGTTTGTCTAAGAAAATAGTGAGTTCTTGTTTTTCTAGCAAAAGGAATAACTCCTTCCATGTGGGTCTATTCTGCTTAGCATAGGTGGTGTTTGAGGAACACAGGGTCTTGTCCAGTGTCTATTCAGAGTCACATTGGTCATTTTTTCCACATACGATTTATATTTTTACTTCTTTGAAAGATTGTCTAGAGAGCTTACTAGTCACACCTACAACTTAGGCAGACATTGAAATAAGTAGGTAAACATTTCTCCTGTCTCCAAGTCTGGCTTCCTCCCCGGACTGAGAGAGCATGTTGTGAGTACTCAGCAGCTGTGTGTGTGAAGCTTGCGGGAATGATTGGCTTTGCGTTGTAGATGTCTGTTTCATGAAATAGCATCAAGTGAGACAGGCTTTGTTTCTCTGGTCTCCTGAAGCTCCTGGGGTATTTAAACAACGGCCACCTATCAGCATTGCTCCTTCAAGCCCTCTGCTGCCCCTCCACGAGGAAGTAGAAGCCTTGTTGTTCTTGTCTGAAGGAAAACCTTACCTGTTAGAGGTATGTCCTTGTTCTCCTAAAGCCATTTTTCTCTTTATTTCTCCCATTGAGAAAAAACACCTTTTGTTATTTGTTATTAGTTATATTTTGATATAAAAAAGGGTATTGTTAGGAGAAGAAATTATTCTTTCACATTAATTTTTCTTCGTATATATATGTCAGAAGGAAATAATCGGTTGAAGAGAATATTATTAGTCCTTTCTTCAGTCTCTCAAATGGACTTGGACCTCCAGGTTCAGCCCAACTACCCCTCTAGGTCCCAGTAGGTAAATGGCACCTCGCCAACCACAATTATTCAGTTTAATATCAGAGGTTTTGTTCCCAGTCTCATATGTGTCCCCGATCCTGAAATACTAGAACTCTGAGGCACATAACCTGTTTTAAACCTCAGGAATGTGGAAGTTGGGTGCTCACAGCACTGTGTGGCCTGCCTGCAGTGCCATCACCTCCTCTTTCACTCAGAGCTGCCCCTCTTGAGAATGTAATCTTCCATTCCTTACGTAACTTGATTTACGTAGATATGAATCCATGTGTCATACTGGTTTTGTAACTACATTAACAGTGCTATGCTATATATCTTTTTTAAATTGAACATTGTGTATTTTCAGAATCTATCAGTAATTACTTTAATTTGAAGAGGGCATTTACCTTTGAAAATCTGATGAAAGTGACTCAGGAAAAAGGTGCACATTTGCACAAAATTGTGTTAAATGTCAGGCAGACCTAAACACCCTGAAATCTATCCATGGAGCTCTAGCAGAGAAAGCAGCCCTATTTTGAGGCAGTGTTGATGATATTAAATCTGAGTCTGTTTCAGTCAAAGCCAGAAACAACCTATTGACAGTTAGCTGACAGGAGCGCTTCTCCTTTCGTCCCTCGCACCAGGTGATGTTTGCTCTGCGTGAGCTGACGGGTTCGCTCCTGGCGCTCATGGAGATGGTGGTGTACTGCTGCTTCTGCAACGAGCACTTCTCCTTCACTATGCTGCACTTCATTAAGGTAGGGCTCCGCTGGCCTGGTGACGGTGATGGCTGGTGGCCTTCACTCCCAGTTATCATGCTGCTTCTAATACCGTCATTGGTTTTCCTAATCATAAAAATAATGTAGGCTCATTTAAGGAAACAACTCAGCCCTGGCCAGTTTGTTCAGTGGTTAGAGCATCGGCCCTCAGACCTTCGGGGTCATAGGTTTGTATCTCGGTTGCAGGCTCAATCCCCAGCCCCAGTCAGGTCGAGTGCAGGTGGCAGCCAATCAATCTGTCTCTCACATCGATGTTTCTCTCTGTCTCTCCTCCTTTCTACGCTTTCTAAAAATCAGTGGGGAAAAAACCTCCAGTGAGGACTTAAAAAAAGGAAAAGAACTCAATATCCCATCATTCATTGACAATCACCATGAATATTCCCTTATATTTCCCTTTTATTTTCTACACATGTATTTTAACATAACTGGGATTTTATTGTCTTTATGATTTTGTGGAGGGGTTTTGCTTAACATTATAAATATTTTCCATATTACTAAAATGTATCTGTGGGTATAATCTTTCATCCTCTCATTACCATGATTGACCTGACCATTCTCTTACCAGCAACACGTTTGCGTTCAGTTCAGTTTTTAACTGTTAAGAATAAAATTTTATAGTTAATAATGCTGTGTGACCATTACTATGTAAATGTTTTCCAATTTCATATTAAATGCCCTCCCCATTTTAAAAATCAGAAGTAGGGTTTTCTCACCTAAAAAGGTGATACAGTTCCTTATGAAGCTCTGGTCAGTATGCTAATTACTGCTACCGCTGTGGCACTTACTGGATGCCAAAGCACTGTTCCAAGCAGAGTACATATGTAGCTCACTTAATTCTCAAGTAGTCCTATCAGGCAGATACTATTGTCAGCATTTTATAGTTCGAGAAACTGAGGCACAGAGTAAATAACTTGTCCAGGGTCTCAACTAGTAAGTGGCAGAGTGGGAATTTGAATGTGGGCAGCCTGGCTCCAGGGCTGTGTTCTTAACCATATTGTTTACTGCCTTTCTAGGGATTACTAGAAAAACCTGTAAGCCTACACAGATCATTTTTATTAGTTATTAATCTTTAATAACATGGATAATACATGGCTGCATTCTCCAACAACACCAACCAATCTTGCCCCTCTCCTCCCCACCCCAGGGACCAATATGCCACATTGGTATGGGTCCTTCCAGGCTTCTTTCTGTAAATTCATACCATGTGTATTGTTTCTGCCCACAAAATTTCTGCAACACCCTGTTACCTGCACCTGGATTTATAATAGTGATACAGGTAGTGCTGACAAGTAGCAGGTGGTTAGTGGGTTATGTCTTCCGACTCTTATTAAAATGCTCTGCCCTGAGCCTGTTCTGTGCAGACCTATCAGAGGTGACTGCATTCCTCCCTTTAATGTTCACTGATTGTGACTTCAGGTAGTTTTCCTCCTCTCACAGTGGGAGGGAGTGTGACTTGACCTCACAGGTGGTGGGGAGTCCGTGAGGCGTGGAGGGAGATGCTCGCTTAGTGCCAGCCCTGACACCAGGAAGTGTGATGTGGTGATGCAGGGTCCTAGGCCCCATCCACATATCTGTGTGAGGCTGTTAAAATGCACACAGGAGTGAGTCTCTGAATCTTGCTTTCTTCACAGGTGCGTCTTGGCAGGTTTTTCTGTTTCATAAACCAGATTTTCTTCCATACTCCACTCAGCATACTTATCTCAGAGCATACTCATTTGCATTCTCATAGCAACAGCAGCATATTCTGGAAAACAAAATAGGATATGTATCAATGAAATTAAAATGGGGGCCTCTTTAGTGACTTTACATTCTCTTCTTTCTGCCCTTCCTCCTCTCTCCTTCCTAACCACGAGCGTTGCAGCTGGGAGGACCACAGAGGAGGTGGTTTGTTTCAGTTCCCAGATTTAGCACTTGGGGAAACTGAGGCCCCCAAAAAGAAGAATTGACTTGGCCAAGGTTAGCCAGATAGTGGTGGAACTAGGGCTTGAGTCTGACATTGTTGACTGACACACCAATGTGCTTTCCGCTGAAGACTTACTGGAATTTTCTTTTTAAAAACATTTTAGAACCAACTAGAAACAGCTCCACCCCACGAGTTAAAGAATACCTTCCAACTACTGCATGAGATATTGGTAAGTCATACATGTTTTGATTTACTTGTATTTAGGCATGTGTTAGCCAGCATTGTTTATAAATTAAAAGTTGCCTGTGCTTGTATTGTTTTTCTATTCTTATCCTGCACTTACTAAATCCTCCTCATATCAGTCTTTTTTTGTGCAATACTGATTTACAGGTGAGCAATAATAAAACCTTACCTTATAAGGGCTCATGGTTTCGTGAGGGAGCTAGACAAGTATACAAGCAGTTGTCGTACAGAGAGCAGAGGAGCAGTGGATGGCTCTGCTGTGGCTAAGGGGCTGTGCTAAGCACAAGTATTACCTTGTTTAACCTCACAGTAACCTCAGGGAAATTGCTGGCTCTATATTTCACTCATATCTGAGGTACCCTTGATTGTCTTTATTCTACTAGAAATATTTTTACAAGCCATGAAACTGAAATGTAATTGACTGAAGGATGCATCTCAATTTTGGAAATATAAAAAATGGGGGAAATTCAGTTATAATCAACAAAGTACCGTATCACATTAGAAATTAGAACTTGGAGAAGTGGAGTGATTTGCCTAAGACCAACCTCTGATAAATCACAAAGCCAGAATCTGAGCCATGCAGTTAGCCCCTTCCCCCAACCAGACCCCTGGATTGATTGCTCAGTGAGCTGGAAGGAGGTGTGTGACTAGGAGTGGAACTGAGTGGGGCGTGGGAAAGAAGCCCAAACCAGAGCATGCAAGGCTCAGGGACCTGTGAGGGGACCTCTTTCTATAGGCAGTGGCTGCACACTGCAGCCTGGGAGCACATCCTGTCCATTGACTGTTTTATATGGCCCATGTGGTTTTGTTTTCTGATTTCTAGATACAGCCTATCTTGAGAAAGCCGCTAACCTGGCCACATTGGTCCCATGTCCTGCAGGCCACCATCACCTAGAGCAGCAGCAGCCTGCCCTCTTTGCTGGAGCACAGGACCTCCAGTTCACTGCTGCCCTCACTGCTCCTTATTGTCTCTTACTTTGCCCATTTTGCTCATTTCTTGTCATCCTTGCCTCCGACATTTAAGTTTGCAACCTCTGCTGTCAGTGACGGGCGCCATGGACAGGTTTTAAGCAGGAAAGCTCTGTGGCCTTATTTATGTTTTAGAAAGATGCCCTTGGCAGTTGCTTTGAAGGATGGACTGAAGGAGGAAGCAGGGGCAGTGTTGGAAGAGTTACACAGAAGTGTATGACAGTAATCTGAGTGTGAAATAACAAGGCCTGTGCTGAGGCAAGACCAGCGTCAAAGGGGACAAAGGACATGTCAAGAGATGTTTTGGAAAGAAAATCAATAGAATTTGGGGACTGGTTGTGAGCTAGTGAGAAAGACTAGCCCAGAAGCTCCTTAAAGAGAGGGAGGAGGGACAGGGTTCCCTTTATGTCCCTAAGACTTGGTGTAGGCCTGTGGGCCTTGGCACAGGGTAGGCATTTAATCAGTGCTTCCAAATAAGGAATTACACCATGAATGCCATTTATAGAAAGCCTGGTCCTTTCTCCTGGTGCTTTTACAAACTTTGGAAGGTTTGCTCCTCAGAAGCAGGGCTGCATATTGTTCATCTGCTCGGCAGCAGACCTGTCGAGTTGGCTGCACTGTGCACAATCGGGTGTGAGGCACTAGACCAGCGGTTCTCAACCTGTGGGTCGCGACCCCTTTGCGGTTGACCGACCCTTTCACAGGAGTCGCCTAAGACCATCCTGCATATCAGATACTTACATTACGATTCATAACAGTAGCAACATTACAGTTATGAAGTAGCAACGAAAATAATTTTATGGTTGGCTCACAACATGAGGAACTATATTTAAAGGGCCAGAAGATTGAGAACCACTGCACTAGATGCACAGTGACAGTAAGACAGTTCCCGCCTGTGGACTTGCAGAGCCTGTGTTGTAGCAAAACTGACACAGTTTGGTAAACAGGTTAAACTCTAAACCTCTCACCCTCAGGATCATGAAATGTACGTCCTTATAACCCACAGAGAACGGTAGGTGTCAGTAAGAGGACATTGATAAGAAATAAATGGATCTTCAGATATTACTCAGTAGCTTTTCATCTGTAGTTTAAAATGTAAGATGTTGAAATATATGGCAGTGACATGATATTTGTATTGGGTTTTGTTAAATTAGAACCTATTGAATTATTTTTTTTAAAAAAGAGGCACCAATGGCTATAACCTAAGTTCTTCTTTCATTTACCAACTTGTTTCCTTCCTCTCACAGGTCATTGAAGATCCCATTCAAGTAGAGCGAGTCAAATTTGTGTTTGAGACAGAAAATGGACTACTAGGCAAGTATGCCCGGCCTTAACGGGAAGTGTCAGCAGTGAATGTGCAGGTAGCCAGTCTCCTCCCTAATGGGTCTGCCTCCTGCCTCCCCAGTCCATCTCCCACACCAACCCCGCGTCCCTGGCATACATCAGTGAGGAATCCAACAGAAGCCTGATTAAGGCATTGGTTCCCTCATTTTGGTCGTGAGAATTAAAACCAGCGACCTGATCGTCCTGGACACTCTCCTACCTTTAGTCAGTAAAGTGCAACTTGGGGTCCTTACTGGGTTAGGAGAGAGTCAAGGCTGCTGTGACTTTTCAACAAGTTTAAGGCATTTTCCAAGGCAAGAAACTTTCATTCCACCCTATAGCCATTAAAACCTCAGGCTCAGGATGTTGTCAAACTCAGGAAATGTGATTGTTTTTCGACTGTGGTATAAATGCACCCAAATTTCTATTGTCTGTTCATAAAAGGTTTCGGGCAGAGTTCTTCTTTTGAGAAGGCTGAAGTGGCTTTAGTGAGCAATTTCTTAGAAAAGGTTTGGTTAAAAATAGTCTTCTCCAACTCCCACCATCCATCTGTATTTCCAGTTGATTGGAGTCATTTCACATTCTCGTTATGTATTAAGAAAAGATTTAGGACCTCCTTTATTTTAGAAAAGAAACCTAAGTTTAAAAAGTTCTATAGCTGCAACGCTCTAGAACACCCCTTGGATGGTGGACTCTACTCAGAGCTTCCACCCAGGCTCTGAACTCCCAGGCCAGGGGTACACTCCCCAGGAGCGGGGCCAAGTATTACTCATCTTTCAATCCCCAAAGCCCAGAGCAGGGACTCTTTGGTGAACTGAACTAAGACGGTAAGTTTCCATTTATCACACTAACAGTGTTCTAACTCCTCTCTGTCAGCAGAGTGGTGGGCGGAAAAGCTTGGGGGTCTCTGGGTGAATAATCAGCCAATATAAATCTTAGCTCCATCTGTTTCTCCTAAAAGTCAAAGTCGCACCACCACGTATGTTTCTTGAATACTACTTAGTATTTCTACCCTTTAGAATTTAGGGGATCCTCTTGAGTCAGCACCATGCTTTTAATTTAGGTCTTTATCTGTTTGTCAGTAGATTGTTGTAAGTTTTCAGAACAGGAGACCCATTTTTATTTTAGTGGTTCATTGTTCAAATACTCTCTTCTCTCCCTTCAGCTCTGATGCACCACAGTAATCATGTGGACAGCAGTCGCTGCTACCAATGTGTCAAATTTCTGGTAACTCTTGCTCAAAAGTAAGTATTGATTCAAAAATGAAGAGAGGAAATGGTTACAAGTCAAATATGACCAGAAAAAACCTGTCTTGTGTTAGTACCTGGAGAGTGTGCCTCAGTCAGGGCATGATTGCTTGGATGGCACAGAAACCTATGCAGATGATCTCAGAGAGATGTGAAGGGAAGTGTTAACACATTTCGTACCGCTCAGGAGTTTTCTCGTGTTTCGCACGCCATCTGTTAAGGACTGCTCACGAGTGTTCTCGTTTTTCACGCCCATGGAAAAAGGAGCGAATCTAGATACTTATGTGAATTTTGTTTGGTCCCTCTTCATAGAGGAAAATGTTTTACGCAGTACCATACGGTAAAAAAGTACTAGGAGCTTTAATTGTTTAATTGTTTCTGTAAATAAAAATGTTATAATTATTGAAAAACAACACCTAAAGTGCATTATGGTGATTTAAATAACGTGCAGTTTGCCCAAAAACGTGCGGTCCCTGGCATATGTCTTAGAGATTTCTATGCAGTACGCAATGTGTTAAAAGAGGAACAGACCTTACAGAACCTGAGAGAAAAAGCTAACCCACAAGGCTTTGTGCAGGAATGGTGGGAATCAAGGTGGGTGAGCCTCCACTCGAGAGGCTTTCATAGTGTAGCTACAGCTCTTTCAGCTCTAGGTCCCCACTTTCATAACAGTCTCTTGAGACAGAATCCTATTAGAGTTGCTTACACTTAATTCAGACACAGTGCTAAATACTTTGCCTGTATTCTCATTAGTCTGTGCATAGCTGTGAGGTTATGGACTGTTATATGTCCCATGTCACAGGTGCTGTCAGAGCTAGGCTGTCTGCTTCAAGCAAAGGTTCTCTTTTCTTTTTGCTTTAGTTGTGGTAAAATGTACATAGCATAAAAGTTACCATTTTAACCATTTTTAGGTGTGAGTTCAGTGGCACTAAGTACATTCACGTTGTTGTGCAACAAACACCACTATCCCATCTTCAGAACTTTTTAATCTTCCTTCCCAAACTGAAACTCGATATCCATTAAACATTAAACAGTAACTCCCCATTCTTCCACCCTCTGGCCCCTGGAAAAATCATTCTACTTTCTCTCTCTATGAATTTGACTACTCTGGGTACCTCATATAAGTGGAATCATCCAGTATTTGTCCTTTTGACACTTAGTATGATGTCCTCAAGGATTTATCCGTGTTGTAGCGTGTCTGAATTTTCCCCCTACTTAAAGCTAAATATTTCATTGTGTGGATAGACCACATTGTGCTTATCCATTCATCTGTCAGTAGACTCCAAATGCAAAGGTTCTCGATGTTACAAGCGACCTTAGTGGTTTGCTACGTTAGTTCCCTACTTAGTACAAGAGCAAACAAAAGATCAGAGTAACTGCAAGATCACCAGGGGTATTGAGCAGACTCCACTGCCATCTCTGAGTCTTACCTGATGGAGCCTTCTTCATAGCTTACTTTATTTTCCTCCAGATTTTTGCTGATTCTTAGGCATGGGTATTGCTATCCCCGAACTTGTACCAAAATAAGAATGAGAAATCTGTTTGGCTTAATCTGCTATATTTGAGCATCCTAAACAGATATTAATGAGAACCTCACTGAAATAATGCATGAACATATGTTTCCATATGACATAGCATTGTGGACAGAGAATGGCGATCATCCAGCCACAATTGTGCGTTCATTAATTAGGCTTGATATTGGCAGCATGTTATCGTTAAGTACTTGCCTAGGAATGGCATTTCCAAGTAGTGTTGGGGCCACATAGTATATCTGCTGCCAGCAGACAGTCCAGATTCCAGTGTCTGTATACTTTCATATCCTTCACACATCTGTTTTACATACACTCACTAGTGGCAACATCACCATCAGCACTATCTTCAAATATGAAGGACAGCTTCCCAAAAAGTCAGATAAAAATAGAGAAAGAGAGGGTGGCTATAAGATCATGTTTAAATATAATATCCTTATTCAGGTCACAAATATTTAAGATTAATTTGATTCTAGCAAGAGGTCATTTATTAAATGCACTATTTGCTATGGGGGTTTTATTTTTCATTCTTCAATTTTGAATTTTAATAGAACTGAGTAGATGAGTTAGAGATAGATGCGACTTTTCACTACATATTTACCTTTCATTTCTTTTTGTATAAAGACAACTGAACTTTAGTGAAAGTAGCATTTGTGTTTCAAAATAAAAAAAGTACCTCTGCAAAGAAAGCATTTGGCTAATAGAAATCTCCGATGGCCAGGTGTCCTGCTGCTAAAGAGTACTTCAAGGAGAACTCCCACCACTGGAGCTGGGCTGTGCAGTGGCTGCAGAAGAAGGTAAATCATTGTGAACCTTCTGGTTCTGACATAGGAATAGTAGGAGCACGTCTTGTCAGGGAAGACTTTCAAACTTAATTTGAAATAGGTCTCAAAGTATTTTCAGTCTTCAAACCTTTTTTGGTACCATTGATACCTATTTTTATGCTTTAAATTTGCATCTTAATACATGCGTCTTAGCTTTATAGGTGAGAAAGTGGGGAAGATTGTGTAAGAAGTAGAATTTTACGAGCTCTTGAGAGTGGAAGTGAAATTTTCCAGGAAAGACTCTCCTGATGTGATAAAAGGGCTGGGTAGACATTTATACTACTGTAGGTGCTTTATATTCTGCTCTCTAATGGTAGAAATCGTGGGTTCATGTGGGCTTGTTTGTCACCTCTGATGCATTTCTGACCTCCTGTCTCAGATGTCAGAACATTATTGGACACCGCAAAGCAATGTCTCTAATGAAACATCAACTGGAAAGACTTTTCAGCGGACGATTTCAGCTCAGGTGAGGGTTGTCTTCTGATTTTGTGTGGCTTGAAATCCCTTAGGTAGGATTTTTAGTATGTTTCTCAGAAACAGCAGCCTCAGAGAAAAGAGGAGGTATAGGTTGAAAATGAGAAGGGGCAAAAGAAATGATTGAATTTCTATGAAAAGATAACACATTGGTGTGCAGTTCACAAATTATAGAAGAAAAGCCATATGGGTGGGTCAGTCCAGCCCCCACATGGCCCAGAAGTTGAGGGGTTCCCTGGGGGCTGCCATGAAGACACCACCCTTAAGGCTCCTGGTGCCTCTAAAGGTCAAAATGAAGGGTAGTCTTCCTTGGCAATGTCGCTGCCACTACCCACTCCCTGACCTTTCCTTCTGTTTGAATCCCCGAAGGACACACTAGCGTATGCCACCGCTTTGCTGAATGAGAAAGAACAGTCAGGGAGCAGCAACGGGTCGGAGAGCAGCCCCGCGAATGAGAACGGAGACAGGCACCTACAACAGGTATGATGGTGTCCCCGTGTGGAAGGGCAATGCCCGCTCTGGAGTTTCCCAAAACCAATTTCATAAACAAGAGAAAAGGAGCCCCAGCTCCATCCTCAGTGCTCTCTGCGCAGGACCCACTCCCAGTGGCCACAGGGAGGAACAGTGCTACCATGTGGGAGGCATGCCAGGCTTTGACCTCAGTGTGTGGCTGGCTGTTCTAAGGAGGCCACAGCGGATTCATTCCAGCTTGTCGGCCTCACTGCCGGCTGAGAACATCACCTCCACCCTTTGCTTTCACTAGCCTCCAGGAAGCATGGACCCTTGAGAGGAGGGGCCTCATGCCATTGAAATCTACCTACTTATTGGGGAGTCAAAGAACAATTGTATGCTGACTTTAAAAACCAACAACATTTCTAATACTAATTACTATAGTAAAAAGGGAATGAAATGTTTATTAAACATCTATGTGCAGAATAATGGAGCATGTGTGAATGTGATGATGTGTCTGTGTCTTCCCTCCACTCTGACCTTCCAGAAGGGCAGTCCCCTTGTAGCTCCATAACAGGGCTTGGCAGAGGCCTCATTAAATGAATCCTGTGGATGTTGTAGAGTCTTTTTTCTTTTTAAGCTCTTGGATCCTCATTGACAACCTTCACTGTTAGCCTTCGATTTTACCGAAGGGAAACTGAGGCTCGCCTACCGTATTGCAGAGAAAACAAAAGCTATCAGACAGGAGCTCCTGCAGCTGCCGCTCCAAGACTCACAGCCCCTCGAGCCCCTGTCCTCTGTCACGGGGAGGGCTCCCCACCCTGCCGTTTTGCCAGAAACCCTGTATTCTGTCTTTTTCTCTGTCTTTGGTATCTTAAACCTCTTCCTCTCAGCAGATCCCTCCCAGTGGTGTTCCGATACACTTGTCTCCCATCCTTTTGAAAAAACTCTCCTCTTCCCTTTTATCTCTGCCCTTTTCTCTGTAGCCTCACTTCTCAAAAAAATAGTCAAAACTTAACTACCTTTAATTTCTAATCTCTCACTCACTCATCAGCCTCTTCCTGCTCAGCAGCTGGAGTGACAAGCAGCCTCCATTTCCAGTCCTCATCTGAGCTGACCACTGAGCAGTATCTGGTGCCACTGACCAGGTCTTCCTTTCTAAACCACTCTCCTGTGGCTTCCATGGCACCGCCATCTGAGTTCTCCGCCAGCTTTTCGGGTGTTTCTTTCTCAGCCTCCTCCATGTCAGCCTCTTCCTGGGCCACCAGGAAATGTCCCTCAGTTCTCTCCTCTTGCCCCTGCCCACAGCCCTGGCCATGGTTCTTCCGAGTGCCAAACGCAAACATCCAGCCCCACCCACAGCTGGTCCTGCTCAGCCTCCGTACTCACACACAGCCCCTGAGTACAGGGCCGCTCGAGCTGCAGGCATTTTCACACCTTGTGCTCGAGCTGCAGGCATTTTCACACCTTGTCGTTGACCTTTGAAAGACCTCATCCATTTGTTCTGTCGAGTAAGCACCTTAGACTCCTGGGTCTCTGTAAAAATCTGCCTGTGGCCACTCTTGAGTCTCTCCTGCCTTCACTGAACCGTTCAGCAGCCTTCCACTGCTGTTAGGGTGGAGGCCGGATCCTCAGCAGTCCTTGATTTGGCCCCTGCTTTCCTCTCCCTCTCATTTTCTGAGTTCTAGATACAGTAGCCTTTCTGTTCATCAAGTGTACTTCTTCCTTCCACCCCTACTCACCCCTGTCTGACTCCCCCTCAGCGTACACGCCCCCTTTGCAGGGAGACTCCCTGCTTCTCCCTCCCCAGCCCCAGCTAGATCAGTCTCAAGATGCATACATGGTTACCAGTCAGCACCCTTAGTGTACAGGGTGGGCGACAGTAGGTTTACAGTTCCTGTGGAATATAATAATAAATAATACAAGAGTAAACTTTTGCATATTCACAACTGTAAGCCTACTTTTTCCCCACCCTGTTTAAACCAAAGGCCACAGGATTGGTGAGGGGCAGAATTCAGGCGTAGAGCCATCTTTGACCATTAGGCACAGTTTCTGGCCCTGGATGTTGGGGCTCTGGTGCCTCTCCCTGGTTCAGCCCACAGCTGCGCAGAGTTCTAATAGGAGCTGTCTGCGCTATTGTGTGGCAGCATTGCGGCTGGGCTAGGCGCTGGCTTGTTTCAGTGACCACATGAGAGCATAGAAATTTAAGTTTTGCATAATCTGCTGCAGATATAAGGTGTTACAGCTTTGTTGTATTGCCCTTTGGTAAACATTACGTTGTTAAATGAGGACATGTTTAAACTACAGAACACAGTCAGCATAAAATAACCTTTTCTCTAACTTCTCAATGGGTGAATTTCCTTTTCTTCCTCTAAGGGTTCAGAATCGCCTATGATGATTGGCGAGTTAAGAAGTGACCTTGACGACGTGGATCCCTAGAGGAGCGTGTCCGGCACACGATGGGGAGTCACATCGCAGTTACTGGATGCTTAGCACCTGTTTGAAACCAGAATCGCACCTTGAACCCTTTAGAAGAACCTGGAAGTGGGCGGGAAGAGCCTGCCACGGCCTGAGGAGCGTGTGTGAGGAAAGCGCTGTGGCCAGGAGTGGGGCTCTTTTGCAGGGGGAGAGCGCCGGCCTGTGGATCAGCTGCCCCGAGGCAGGTCCACATGTGGGTTAACATTTCTGTGGCGATTTTACAAAATAAACTGTGACAGACTTTTGTTACATGAACATACAACAGTGAGTGAGGGTAAAGCTGTGGCTTTCTCTACGATACTATAGAAGAAATTCTTTTGGTTTTTATTTTTATTTTTTTAAAGAAATATGCCTTTAGCTGTGTGGGGCAAATTTTTAATCTTGTAGTAACATTGATTAGGGATATCAAATTTAAGGTTATGTAAAGATATGTGATAAAATTCCTTTCATTGTAAAATAGTAAAGAATTCAGTTTACACAGACCTTTGTATTTAATATGTCTCCCTATTTGTACAGAATTGCAGATGGGTTTGGATGAGAGCCCTGGGCTTAAACTTGGATCTTGATGAAATGTTACCAGGATTGAAAATTGGGAGGTTATTAAGCTATTCAAGGCCTTTTTCCTGATATAATTGAAGTGCTGTTCCCCAGGGCACATTCTTGACATCAGTCACTAAAGAAATCGTAAGTTATTCCCAAAATAAAATTTAAAAACAGCAAAATAAGAAGCACTTTAAGGTATAATTTTATTGAGTTTAACTTCATGAAATCATCTTTTTAATGCTTGGAGACATATTGAATAAACTAGTCTTAAATCATGTGATCTGCAATCATTTATTTGCTTTGGATTAAAACAGTTACTGAAACCCTGGGTACTGGTTGTATATGAAGTTAAATATTTGAATTGAGGGATCTTTGTGAGTTTCTAATCATTTTAATGCAGACAAGGAATTTGAGACTTTGTTTCTCTTCAACTTGAGTGATTAACACTGAAAAGATAGGAGCAGGTTTTATTTTCCCAGAAATAACTAGGAAGCAGTTGAACAAGCATCATTTAGTTGGAATTCCCAAGTTTAACAACATTCGGGTGCCAGCTCCCCTTTGTCCCAGGGTAGGGTTGCATATTTAACATTCTATATATTTTGTACATTTTGTATTTTGAGTTGCTACACAGATTTTCCAACCCTGTTTTGCCTTTAGTTACATGTTCTACCTTGTTTCAACTCACCATGCGCAGAACTAGGGGAGCCTTAGGAAGCGCCAGGTTGCCGCTGTTAGATTTGCCAAGTCAAAGAGGTGTGTCCAGCCCCAAGTGCCTTTGGTGGCTTCTGCATCATGTGACACGTGGCTGGACAGTCAGCTCTTCACTCTGCACTGTCAGCCCCAGTCACGGCACTGCGGCCGACAGAGGTACTGTGCAGCCAGGCCAGTGTGTAACCCTGCACCTGCCTAAAGCTGCTGCTGACAGCCAGTAGATGGAGGAGCCGGCTTTTAAGAGCAGAACTGTGCCCTCGCATGGCTGGCTTGGCTCAGTGGATAGAGTGTCAGCCTGCGGACTGACAGCCTGCAGACTGAAGTGTCCCAGGTTCGATTCCGGCCAAGGGCACATACCTGGGTTGCGGGCTCGATCCCCAGTAGGGGGCGTGCAGGAGGCAGCCGATCGGTGATTCTCTCTCATCATTGATGTTTCTATCTCTCCCTTCCTCTCTGAAATCAATAAAGAAATATATTTTAAAAAAAGAACTGTGCCCTCAGAAAAATGGTCAGAGGCAGTTTTATATGGTTCTGATATTCTTGCAATTTTGAATGTGATGTTTTAAAACTGATTTTGAGTATGTGACTGTTCCATACCCTACTGTCTTCCTTACCCTGCCCTCCCCCTTCTCCACCGCCATCCTCACAGAAAGACTGTGGGACATGACATTGACATGCCGGTGGTGAGATGTGTGGTGACATCATCACCGGCAGCTGCACTCAGGAGCCCAAATTCAGGAGTGAAATCGCCACTTCTAGTCCCTTATTTCCTATGGAAACAACGCCTTCCGCACCCCAGCACCTGCTGTCCTCACTAAAGCTTCGTCAGGACCGCATCAAGATCATGTCACACGCTCTGTTAATTTTGCTCTTGTTGCTGCAATGACTGCCCCTTCACGTAGCCAGTAACCACTTGATTGCCAACGGCTGAAGCCTGCAAACCTGCTGATGACTTTTTTAATATACAACAAAGCGACAATGTGACAGGCTACCTTGGAAGAGTTGTCGTTTTTATTGCCAACTTTTTTGGATGAAGATGTTTTTATAAATCTTTCAAAAAGTAGGAATTGCACAACTAACTCAATGCTGTGTGTCCTCAAGAAGCTCCCCTGGCAAGGCCCACTGTTGATGCTGTGTCGCACCAGAGGCATTCTGGGAGGAAAACAGATGAGCATCCCAGCGGGATGCCCGTGGCTTCCCTCAAGGTCCCTGGCAGCAAGGACGAGTGGTAGGACCTGGAGGCCATGTCCTGGCAATTGCCCTGTCTTGCCCCCCTCCCCCCCTGCTAACATTGAGGTGTGTGCAGTTACCTTCTGAGCTGGAACCAGCAGACTGGAATTGTCCTCTGCTACCTCCTGTGTACAGGATCTTGTTTATAAATTTCAAAAGGAAGTAGATGAACAGGGAAGAATCTTCTAAGTGTGGCTCATGAGTGGCAGAGTTCTTAGCTTCTAAAGGTGTAAAATAAATTTTTCAAAAATGCAGAGCTGGAGTCTCACTGGCCTCTTTCTGCACATGTCAGAGAACAACGCGGGGAGGACAGGGGGGATTCCTTCCGTACTTCCTCCTGGCGGTGTGAGTAGGTCCACTCGCATCATGAGGGAGTGAGGGAATCATGAGGGAGCCCAAGCTTTTCTAAGCCTTGGCCTCTCTTCTCTGGCCACTTTGGGTTCTGAAAGCTTGGGGAGGCATGCTGAACTGGGGCTGAGGCTGACGTCTCCCCATAGCTTTCAGGTCTCAAGTGGTCCCAGCAGAAATGTCCTTGGTCAAGCGGGTTTCCTGCTGGACCCACAGTCTGTCTCACTCCTAAAGCCCCGTGTTTGCACACATGTTCCCCTCTCCTGGGTGTTGGCTGCTCCAGATCTTCCTCTTCTGTGGCCACACCCAGTGCTCCCCGCTGCCTACATCTGCAAGAACCAACCATTTCCTTCTGTGATCGCAGGCTGTCAGGGTGTAACTACCCAGCCAACTGGCACTTGGTTCTGTGCCATCTAGTGGGGTGGGGGGCTCTCTACACAACAGAAAGAGCTACCAACACCGGAGATAAAGTTCTTTCCTGGCACCCAGGCCATTGGCATCTGACAGCTCTCAAATACTTTCCATGATGTGAATTGTCAGAAACTAGTTTGGGAGGATTTTTCCTTTGTAGGCAGATTCCCTTATTTACTAGAGGCCCAGTGCACGAAGTTCACGCATGGGAGGGGGGGACGGTCCCCTCAGCCCAGCCTGTACCCTCTCCAATCCGGGATCCCTCTCACAATCCTGTACCGCTGACTCCTAATCGCTTGCCTGCTGGCCTGGTCACCCCCAGCTGCCCCCCTCTGCTGGCCTGGTCATCCCTAATAGCCCCCACAACCAGCCTGGTCACCCCCAACTGCACCCCCTATGGCCTGGTTGCCCCCAACTGCCCCCCCCCCTGCCTGGTCACCCCTAAACACCCCTCCTGCCAGTGTGGTTGCCCCTAACTTCACCCCTGCCAATCTGGTTGCCCCCAACTACCCCTCTTGCTGGCCTGGTCACCACTAACTGTCCCCACTGCCGGCCTGGTCACCCTTCACGCCTCCCCCACCAGCCTGGTTGCCCCATGCAGCCTGCTGTTCAATTGTTTGGTTGTCCCTCACTAACCCCCCTGCCGGCCTGGTCATAGGCAGCCATCTTGTGAGGGTGTAAGGGTTAATTTGCATATTACCTCTATTATATAGGATGGTAGGGGCTCTTTAGAGGTAGGCCTTGTTCAAGTCCACTTATACTCACCAACCTGTGGAGAGGGGAGGCACGGTAGGTTCCACATTGAATGGGATGATTCTCCTTTGACAACTGGAAAGTTCTGAGACTGTTCTTAATTTCTAATCATAAAAAGTGATCATGGACATAGTACAGCTCGTTACACAAGCATCAGGCACTCATACAACTAACTTATCCCATGCACACTGACTGCCGGGTGCTGGGGAGCGGAGAATGAGAAGGACACGGGGGACCCAGGGCTCAGGGGTGCATACAGACGTCAGGGCATCTAGAACGCTATCGGGCACGTTACCAAGCATTGACATCTTGGGGGCAGCTGCTGGGGGACTCAGGGAAGTTGTGGGAAGACACAGGTTTAACTGTAGGACAGGCATAAAACTCAAGTACTCATCAAATGCTTGATTCACTCAACCATTCCACAAGCAAGGCCTCATCCTTAACAGGCAAATTCAGGCAAGCTTCATGTCAAAGTTGCTTTAATTTTTTAAAGTCACCATATAATAAAAATGCTACAAAACCCAGAATAAATATCTTCAAGTTATAAAAGCCAGAGGTCTAGAAAAGCTGCTTGCTGTAAAAAGGCAACAGAGAGCTGGTTACAACACAGACCAAGAAAATAAATGCACGCTGGTTTGTTGCTTGGTGGGCGTGGGAGCTCAAGGAGGGAGAGCTGCCCTCCGCGTCCAGCCTCAGAGGGCTCTCCACAGAGTTCCCGTGGATCTGGCCAGTGCTGGTTGCCCAGTGCCCTGCCCTCGCTCAGTGCTACCTCAGATCTGTGTTCCCCGTTCCGAGCCTCAATGTCATCTATAAAGCTGGGTGCCCAGGCTGGTGCAGTAAAAAGGCTGTACAGCCAAATCTGAGTTTATATCCTGGCACCACTTCATGTCCTGGCCATTGAGAGTGCCTCCCAATTTCTTCCTACCTAAAGTGGGGGTGGCAATAAATACTGTGCAGGGAGGAGTGGGTGGAAAGGTGTGGGAACCACATGACCCTCCACTGCAAACTCAAACTGAAAGTCAGCCCTGGGATGACGTCTCCCTAGAGGCAGATGCTGGCGGACAGCAAAGCCTGGACCAGAGCAGGTGAGGCCGCTGGGAGAAACAGATATGGCCTGTGATCACCTGGGAAACACCTCCAGCCCCTGGAGGATCTCACGTGCTTCTGCTGGGGACACACGGTGTGGTGAGGAGAGCTAGAAATTTTATTAACAAAAGCTGTCTTCTAGGAGGCAAGTCCTCAGGGCAGGACGGGGCCCATGGAGACACCGCACTCATGGAGATCTCTAGAAAAAGAGGAAGGACTTGAACCGAGGTCTCTTGGCAGCTAGCATGGTCTTGTTTTTGTGGCCTCAATATTCTCATCTATCCAACGGGTAGATCAGCCCTGCCTTTGTCAAGGCTGCCCTGAAACCCACTGACAGCGTGGGCAGAGAAGCACTTTGGACATTTTGAAATGCTGGGCAAGCATCATCCCATCGGTGCTTACCACCCACCCTGCACCCCCAGAGGTGTGGGAAACATCCTCCGTTAATCAGGGAGAGCAGAGGGGCTTCTCCAAAGTGGGCAGGAGGTGAGGGGTCATCTCCACCTTTCACACTCGTTCCTCCTAACTGACAGACACTTCCTGCCCTCAAGTGCCTCCTTGCCTGCCCATGGGAGCATTGCTCCCTCTTCTGTGCAAGCCTAACCAGGGGCTCAATAAAAGGTAGCTCCGCCCACAAGCATTGGCATCTTGGGAGCTTGTCCGCATTAATGGCGAGATGCATCCCCGCAGGGAGGCCATGGGGGAGGGGAGCCCAGCCCCTGCAGCCCTGCTGCGC